CGCGGGGAGGGGGGGGCGTTGCATGTAAATAGATAGAAGCATAAGTCATCTACGTACATCAGCCCTCACTCGATGAATAGAGATTTAGAGATTCAAACTTACATCTATGCTATTTTATAGTAATTCTCACCATAGCTTTTTTAAAGGACGATTTCTTTTTGAATTTTTCTTCTACTACAATATAAACCAACAATAGCAATAGTAATAGTCTGACATGATATGAGAACCATTATTTCGCTTTCTGCCGTATCTCTCTAGTAGAGAAAGTTTCATGTTAATTTTAATTTCTTTACTTGATTAAAAAATTATTCGTTTCGCTGATGTCTATGTCATCAAGTGAATCTTGAGGGTTAAAACGAGCCTGAATCGAATATGATCAGTTCTACCTAGTTGTAATTAATCAATACATGCCTGAGTTGATTGATGGTTATCTCAATTACGTGACAATTAATTCAATATGTTGAGATATCGGTACAATCAGAAATTATCATCGAGAGGACTACGGGATCTGTAATTTTGACTCATTGGTTATCTAAATACTTGTTTTCTCTCTTTCTCTTTCTTTCTTGATACTTTCAAGGTAGCAAAACTTAGTTGCCGCGAAGCGCTGAGCGATCTCATTTCTTTCTTTAATCTAGGCTGCGTGAATGACAAATTTGACGACGAAACAAGTGGGAGCATGGCTACAAAGTATTGGCTTTGAACTATATGTCACAAAGTTCAGTGGTAAGAAAAAAATCTGTATTATATAGAAGTTGATGCAATCGAAATACCAATAAATAGTCTATTTTCATCTTTCTCTATGGCTTTTTTGCGTAAAATTGCGTTAACTTTTTACTTTGGAAAGAAAATATCATTAATATGCTTACGAATGGTGTTTTTTTCTTATCTCACATGTTTTACTTACAACGTAACAGAATAGAACGAAAATATTTATGTCAATAAAGAAAAGGAAATTTATGTAACTATATTTAAAATTGCATTGAAACAAAATTGCTTCCATTGTTGAACATCAGATACTCATTAAGAAATTGTTTTTCTGAGTATAGAGCACAAGTAAAAGAATGCGTACCAAAGCATGCCTTTATTTCTTAAATTATATCTGTAAACTGAGAGATTCGTTGTGCTCAGTGAAGAACTTCGAGTCCTCTGTAAACATCTTCCATCTCCAAACCAGCTAATATTCAAGAGAATTCTACTGATTTTTACTGCATTAGATAAACAAATTGATGGTACAGCTCTACTAGCTTTATCTGATGATGCAATCGTTCAGTTACTGTCTTTGAGCAGTGAAGATGAAAAGCAAAATAAGGCAGCCATTAAAAAATTCAAAAAACGATTGGAACAATTGAAAGCGGACCACAAGGAAGATTCAAGCAGACATCGAAAAGAGTAAGTGACTCAAATATGCAATAATGACGTTATCATATCTAGTTTCTATATTGTAGACAACGAAATCCTGCCACTTTGACATCGTCAACAATGGTAACCTCGAGTATACATGAAGACCTAGTGACTGAGAAAAGTATCAATCCCACCTACACAAAGATCCTAACTATTTCTCATGATAGTAATCGAGTCAGTATACACTTTTTTAACGATCCACTGTTCTGTGTCAAATTGCAACAATATCTATATAAAACATATGGTATAACATGTTCGATTGAATCTGAACAAAAGAAAATTATCTTAACGTTGGTTGGTACAAAGCATCAAGTGAAAAATGGTTGTGGTGACATCATAATTCTCTTCGAATCAACACAAACGAAAATCTATAACTCAGAATCTGTGGATCGAAAAGGTAAAGTATTTATTATAAAATCTTAATTATTACGTATGTCTTGCAGCTATTTACTGGTCAAAACATATTTTTTCGGATGCAACAATTAGTGTAATCCAACAAATAATGAACAATGAAAAACTATTTACGGTTTGGGAAAAATCAGAAATGTTTTCTGGCTTTTATAAAGTGGTATACTTCACTCATGAATCTTTTGCAGCTTCTGAAGAGTCAATTACTCAAATATTAAATCGTGAAATAGCATTCGTTGAATATATTAAAATGCCCAATGAGAAAACAAAAACTTTCCTCGACGAAATCGAACAATTCATAATTACTGCAAAACAACCAGAATTAGCTGTTATTCGTTGTAAATATCCATTCAAAATGGAAATCAATGTCAGTTTGTTTGGACGAAAAAAATTGGTAAAAACAGTGAAGAAACAGATAGAATTACTCGTTAAGAAGCATACAGTAAAATCATTCGGAATTAAAATGACTCCAGCACAAGTAATGAGTTTCATTACATATTTTGAAAAACTATTCTTGCTTTCTTATAGCATATTTATCTAGTAGACAATTATCTTCAACGATTTAAAGACATTGAGAACGATTATAAAAATGATAATGTTAAAATACGAATACGACAGAAAGAATTCTATGCACCTCAATATTTGATCGAAACAATCAAACAACACATTAATGAACTAATATGTCACACAACTACGTGCATAATTCAAACGATGGAAAATTCCATTTCCTTAACCGATGATGAAAAGACACAACTGATTGAGATTGCCAAAAGGTATTACTGTTCTATAGAAAGAATTGAATCGAATACTGAAGTACAAATATGTTCAATTCCGATAGCATTAACAAAAACATCATCAACTTCAACTGCAATGATACAGCAATCAAAGGCATTCTGTTCATCGTTGTCTGTGAAGAAAATTTCCGTGCTAAATAGTTCAATAGAAGTTTATACTGCTGATCATTCCATGCCACTTTTGGTAAGTAAAAGTGTCGTCGTCACCAGTACATGCATATTATCTATTCAGGAGGACGTTATTGTGGTTTCTACAGATGCAGGAGCTATTCAAGAACGTATTGAATGTGTGCATAAAAATGGATTCTATGGAACATCTTTCGGTAGAAAAGTTATACTGTGTCACTGGCAGCATCTAACAAGAACGAATTGTAAAGCGGGTACAGAATTAAAACGATTGGTTACAAAATTTATTTCAATTATTGCAAAAAGTATTACTGCTGATTGTCCTGATGCTGAAAAGATTGCATTTTTGACACATGAATGGGAGAATTTTGGCAACGAAACGCAGTTTGCTGAAGAGTTTATTTTTGAATTGAAACGAGTACTTGAAAAAACAAAACCACGTTGGAGACTTTTGTTTATGTTCAATCATAAACAAAATCAATTATGTGAAGCATTTTTTCAAGCAATGATTCGTCTACAGTCCGATGAAGATGGCTTTGCTCAATTTTCCTGTCCGCTATCAAGTACGCATCCATTGCTTTCACCATCATATTCGCAAAAACAGCGAGAGCGAGGATGTTTAAGGATAAGTGTGAATTCGAACAAACGATCTGCACACGCAGTAGTCATCCCTCAGCTTAGAAGAAGAAATTTTCGCAGGCATAAGAAAACAAGCTGTTGAAAGCTTCTCGATAGTCTAGTTTGTGTCGACTAAATTTTAACATGAAAAAAAATGTCTGTATCGTTCAAAATGAGAAAGTAATTTTTGGGTGTGGGGACATTGCTTTTGTTTGACTCTTCATTACAACATTAAACTCTTTGAGTGTATCTGTTTTCTTACTAGCGTCTATATTGTGAGATTGAATCGCGTTTTTTTTTTCTATAAAAGATAATATTCAATATATATTTTTGCTTAGCAATTTACATAACTTTGACCACCTCGAAAGGGAACAACTTAGTACTATGTGAGAATGCAATCAACTGCTACACTCGAAAGAACATATCCACAGCTGAGACTATAAAAAATGCATCGGATCTGGAAAAGTGGGATCAATGTATGATTAACGTCTTCTATAAGTATTGTGTAGAAAAACGCGTGTTGCTGCAACTTGACCTCAAGACGTTTCAATTAAGCTTAACTGGTTCAGCAAAAAATGTCGAAAAAGCCATTGAAAAATATAAACTGATGTCTGAAATATTGATCTTGAAGTCATCAACAAGAAGTCTATCGTTATCAAAACCAGGATCGTCTACTGTCGAAAAAAAACAGTCTGATTCAGATAATCACAGTAGTTATAACATTGCCTTCAGTTATTGTAAACAAGACAAAATTGTCTGTCGACAAATTACAACGTTCTTGTCGGGTGAAGGCTATTCATTGTGCCACTCATCATTTAACAGATCTCTATCATACCAACAAATTGAAAGGTCCGATATATTGTTAATCTACTTCAGTGAAACCTACACTAAAGATGTACATTGTATGAGCGATTTAAACTACGCCGAATCAATAGGAAAACAAATCATACCGGTTGCAGTAATGAAAAGTATGCATCAAGAAACAGAAGAAAATACGTGGCTGCAATCAGTAACCAATGCTCAACTATTCTACGATCTATTTGATACCGAAATAGAGATCGAGTTTGAAGACGATTTCGACATGGAATGTGATAAATTGTTAGCAACACTAGTAAGTAGAAGAAAAATATTTTCTATTATACTTATCATAAATATCATATTCAAAATTTAAATGCTTTCTGTTTGAAAATCAGATATTCCTATATTCCACATTACAACGGCCATCATGAAATTCGAATTTAGATTTTGAATTCGCGCTTTTGTTCTCTATAGAATTTCGTGGTATGATACAAATACTTACTCTAGGTCATTTTGTTTAAAATAAAAATCGATGAACGAAATATTCGCATTTATAAGCTTGATATCTGTTATCCATGACTCGAGCGAGAGTTATATTTGCGAAATAGTATTTCATATAAGATAAACTCGTTTGCTGTAGAAAATATTCGAAGAATCGATCATGTGCATTTTCCAGCGCATAATGTAACTCAAGCTATTTCACTTGAATTCAGTTAAAACTGCTCAGTTGCTATGCGCATAGCCGTAATTGACCTCGAGTTTTATTTATAATTATATCGGGGTTTTTTCCCGTTCGCACTTCTATTTTAGCTGCGCCATACGAAACCTGGTGTGACTGGTCAGCTTTATCCTCAAGCAACATCGATCATGTCTGAAACAAAGCAGATGAATACAATTAATGAACAAGTGACATTCGGTCATGTGTCAATGAAATTACAAAATGTGACTGATGAACAACGAGAAGAAGGAGAAAGAACTTACAGGATACGATTGAAACAACGCATGGAAAAGGAAAAGATCCCTAGCGATGAAGTAGACGTTTTGATTTGCGAGTTGAAACTTGTTATGGATGATTTAAATGCAATTTTGAGAGGAGAAAATCCGGATAGTGCCGTTGAATTGAGTCCTCGTGATCGATATTCATATAGACGAAAAGATAGTAAGCAGTGTGATTGATCGAAATTTCACTCAACAACATCCAAATATGTTTCCATTTCTTTTTCACTAACAGTTCAATATTCAAAAGTATTAACACATGCGATTTTGAATTGCATCAAACGTTGGCTAAAGAAAGCGCCAAACTATATGAAGAAAAATGTCGCACCGTTTACTCCCACTGGCGATATTAATGATGCTACATTTCGATTGTACGAATCTACTAATCACGATTGGTGGAAACCCGATTACGAACCATTTGCAGCTCTACCACCGCAAGATTATTTCTCATTACCAAAGTCAAATCCAGGTTCTTGGTTTACAGCTGAGCAAGCTCAAGATTGTTTTCAACTATTAATAAAACATGATAGAGCAGTAAACACAATGAACATGAAACTTGATAATAATGAAACAGCTTGGGATACGGTTTCTATTAGTGAAGTAGATAGTGAAAATGCTACAAATGAAGAAGATGATATTGATGATCAATGGAAAACTCCAGAAGAAATAAAAAAGATTCAAGAGCTTGACAATCCAAAGCGCAGATGGAAGCGAAAGAATCAATTTACAGAAGCGTTTATGAGACAAAAACTACAAAATATCATCGAGTTTCAACAACTTTGTGATAGACAAACTAGTATTGAATTGGAATTGTTTCATTATAAGAGAAAAAATCCAAATATTTTTTCTGTTGCTACAAAATAAAAACTCTTACATTAAAAAATCAACTTATGAATTTTTCTTTTAGATCAAAATTCAGTCGTCTCCGTTTGATTCTATTTTACAATGGATATTTTACTGTTACCATATTCGACTATTGCTCATTGTTTTCGTGTAGAACACAACACCTTAGTGGTTGCAGATTTCAAAAAAAGATTCGATGATATAATTTCTTATTTAAACAAAATTCCTGCTAACAAGAGAAAAACCAATGGCATGTATATTTTAACAGCTATCTGTGATGATCTTGCGAGTTTCCATACATTTCGATTATTTGATCATTTGATTCTACGAAATCATCCAATTTTCGATTATATTGGACGAACATTTGAAATGCTTTTGACAAAATCAAATCGCTCTCAAACAATATTAATGACTAAAGAAGAGGACGATTGCTTTTCATCGATGAGTTACTTCATTGCACAATTGTGTCTATATCAAAATGAACCATCAGGATTGATCTATGGAGATATATTAAACGAAATATTTCCGGTAACAGAAAAACCAAATGCAAAAGGTGTACACATACTCCAATTTAATAGAGACCCAGACGATGAAATCATAGATACACTAAATTTGAAAACTGCACGTTTAAAACCTGATGCACCAGCGGCGCGTCCACTCGAGAAAACAAAATTCGATGTAACAAAAATACCCAAATTAAAAAAGTTTCCACATCAGTTTATGTCGAAAACGCATGAAACTCAGATCGATTCACCCATAATTCAATCGAATCAAATCGAATTACCTGCAAAATTATTTCAAAATATATTTTTAACAAAATTATTTTTTTATCAATTAGCTCGTGCCATCAATGATCTATCGCAATATGAATATTCTTCATATCACGTCAAATATAAAGTTATCGATCGACTTGTTCGTCTTTGTTCAAAACTAAACATGATCGATGAATTGATTGATCCTATTATAAAATGTCTATGTTCGAAATATTATCGTGATGCATTTATAACAATAGAAATTAATCAAATTCGATTGAATCAAAAACAACTCTTTTTTATTTATGAGTGTACACAATTTCTTGTTCAACATAATTTCTTAGACCAAGGGAAAATAGTTGGCATATTGTGTAAGAGTATCATTGAAGCTACAAAAACAATTTTCGACAAACATTTCTCAGCCATAGGTAAGAATAGTTTTCGTGTTTAAAATTAACATATTTTTTTCGTTGAAAGATACCGATATTGATTCGAATCAAGATGGAGATAGACGAATAATAATGCTTGCGCTCAGCTGTCACATTGAATTATTGTATCAATTCTCATCGACATCATTTGGTAGAAAATATTTCCTTCAAAGTTCCATCATCGATCAGTTTCTAAGTATATTAAGACAAAGCGAATTAACCGCCAGTGCCTGTGAGCATCAGCATTTATTTAATGCAAATGTTGGTATTGTTGCATATAGTCTCATGTTATTATATAATTTGGCGTTTGAAACAGAAATATTTTCGATATTGAAACAATCAGATTTGCAAAGTATTTGTTTGAAACTTAAATCTGCAAATGATCATACGATTAAATTTGCATCGATGACATTGGCAACAATTTTAAAAGAAGACAAAATTGATGAAGATAATGAGCCTTCTAGACTAAAGGAAGGCTACATTCAATTTCTCGAGGATATTATCGTTGAATCCGAACAAATAACAAGAACAGATGTTACAAGAAATACAAGAGGTATGTTTGTCGTATAGATAATGCAGAAATATGAAAGTCACAATAATTTGACGGGGCAATATTTGCTTTATAAAATAATACTGATTCAACAGCGGTACGATGAAAACAAAAAAAAGGGGGGGGGTCATTTCTAAATGATGTGGGTCTTTTCTTCATTCACCCACACCCAAAATGTCCTTTTCGAGTGTAAAAAGAGGTCAAACGTAGTGGCTAACTTTTGCTTTCCAGGGTATATATATATATATATATAGAAGTTCAGTACTCATCACTAAAATCATTTTCTATAATATACGAATATGAATATCTTGGTTATTTTCTATTAGAAAAAGATAACAAGAAGGGTGTGTTTCTAAGAGGATCGTTTTTGGAAAAATTGATTTTTGACATTGACCATCTATCAAAACATGGATATCCATCAAACGAACAACGATACAAAAATACTGCACAACAAATCCGTGTTTGCTCAACAGAAGAGACAGACGACGTAGAATCATTATTAGGTCCGATAATTGCATGTTTATCATCGAAATTTTATCGCGATGTCTATACTACAATCGATGTCAATCATGTAAAAATTTCCAATAGTAATCTGGCACCAAAGCAATTATTTCTCATGCGTGATTGTGTAGAATTTCTCATTCGACATGATTACAAACGACAAGATGAAATAGCTAGTATCCTATGTCCAAACATGTTAGAAAATGCTGGACTCATTTTTGACCAACATCTACCAATTCTAACTGAGAATGAAGGTTAGATCAACATTGAAGCATGCAATCGTTTGTTTTGTTTGTTTATCTATTTTTAGATGACGAAGAAACCAAAAATGCTCGTATCGAAGCCTTGCTTTATCATATCAAATTATTGAGTCATCTTGCACTAGCACAATCTACACGAAAAGACTTTTTAACACATGCAATCATCGATAAGCTTTTAAGATTTTTAGGAAATAAAATGTTGATTGATAATGCTCATCCAATCGTTAACGTTAAGGTTGTGATTGTTGCACAATCATTAACATTATTATACAATTTGGCATTTACCAAAGAAATATTAGTCATCATGAAAAATAAAGATGTCCTGGGTATATGTTTGCAATGGCGTCTAAGCAAAGATAAAATAATTCATTTTGTTTCACAAGCATTAATGATATTATTAGATTCGAATAAAATTGATGAAATCATTGATCCACGTTCGTTCACTAAATTCTGTATAGAGTGCATGAAAAAATCTGCCAAAGAACCACGACAAGCATATCAAGGTATTAAATTGAGTGGTCTATTGAGAATTCTTGGAGGTATGCTTTTTTAAATGTCGAACTTTGTTTTCAATATAAAATTGTTCTTCATTTATAGCTGTTCTTGATAATGATACGGTGCAAAAAACTATCATCGAAGGAAAAGAAGGAATTTCATCTCTTGCAAAATGTGCTTGTGTCGTTAATCCAGATAATACAACAGCTGATCTTATAAAGAAAATTCGAAGATCTTCATTGAATATTATTTGGAAATTATTATCGTTAGAGCCTACATTGAGTAACAAACTGAAAATCAATGATCTATTCATCGAACATATTCGAAAATTATCAGAAGAAGCATCAGGAAACGAAAAAAAGATGCCTAGTCGAATTATTTGGAAATTAGGTGATGAAGAAGCATTTCATTCTGAAGAAGACACTGATGACATACACGGAACGACGACAATTGACGATGAAATCAATTCAAATGATGCATGGGATGATTCAATTCCGTTCGATGTTATAATGAGTTTTAGCCATGATTCAAATGACAAAAATCTTTGTCAGAAAATTTATAATCGTTTGAAATTAAAGGATGTTCAAGTATACTTTGAACTACAAGGCAAACATCGGTTGGAATCAATTAAACAAGCATCATTGAAAAAAAAAATAATTCTAGTTTGCTTATCAGCTGCATATCGGTCATCGAAGTTTTGCATGGCAGAACTTGAATGTGCTTCTAAACAAGAATGCCCTATTATACCAGTGATAGTTGGATTAAATTACAAAGTAAAAGGTTGGCTAAGTCATCTTGTCGGTAAAAAAGATACTATTGATTTCACACAGAAAAATTTCAAAGACGCATTATTAAAATTAACCGATCAGATCGAGAAAATGAAGCCTACAGAATAAATAATCCTAAATATAGTTTTGTTTTGTTTTTTGTATAAAGAGTGTTATCTTAAATTTTCCATCACTCCATCAATTTTATGGTCGAATTATTTTCAGATAGTAGACTAAGACTTTCGAGATAAATTTGAATTCTTAACAAAGGTAACCATGTGTCTGTTCTAATTGAATACCGCGAAATCAACAACAAATAGTATTTATTCAACGACAAAACAACTACATGGCTCAATCATCAACAACAAGTCTGTTTTATTATTCTTGTCGTAATGGAAAACTCGATGAGGTATCTGAACAATTACCTAAAATGACATTAGAAGAAATAGATCAAGTTCAAGCGAATGGTTCCACTGCTCTTCATGCAGCGTGTTACTATAATCATGTAGAAATTGTGAAATTATTATTGAAACGAGGTGCAAGTCGCTCCATACAAAACGTGCACAAGTGTTTGCCATATGATGAAGCCGAAAAAGAAGAAATAAAAAAGCTATTTGTTCGTGAAACATCGAATCGATTTAACGACGATGGAACCGGTCATATTGATTGGATGAAATGTGATCAAGCAGCAGAGGAACTAGCGCATGAATATCGATTTCGTCATGCTGGATTCGGTTGGAAAAAGAAAGATATTGATCGGCGAATGAAATGTATCAAAGAAGAAATGTCTCATACAGACGATGAAAAAGTCGGTCGATTTCTCACTCGTGCAGAATTAGATCAAAATCCCCTTTATCTTTTGAAAGCATATACAGTTGAATCGAATTTTTATAAAAAATTGAACAAAGATCTAGCTACAAAACATTTCGATCAGGGAACCAATTCTGGTATTGTTTATTTCATTGATTTCTTTTTCAATTGTCCAGATTTAGCAAAATTGTCGTTCAAAGGTAAAGTTTATCGTGGTATGCTTATTACACAGGATGATCTTAAACAGTATGGTATTGGAGGCAAAGTAATGAATAAAGCATTTATGTCGACAACAAGAGATCGAAATATAGCGGAAGGTTTTGCGAGAAATGAACTTATTCATCGTGCAACAGCCCATGGTCAACAAGTGAAAATGGCTGCTTTGTGCGCATACGAAATTATCAACGATCGAACAGGTCTTGATATTGAACAAGTTTCAGAGTATGTCATAGAGAGGGAAGTACTCGTGGGTCCATACACAGCATTCGTGATAAGCAACATACGGAAAGTTCGCTCAGATTATGTAGAAATTGATCTTCGTGAATGCGAAAAAGTCAATGAAGAAGAAGAATTTGACGATGAAGACTAACATGAACATTTTTTATCAATTACTTCAACTTTATTTATTATTTTTGAAAATTGGAAATAAATCTACTATTTCTTGTGATTGTCAATTGTTGGATGTGGAGGTGTGGGTGTGGGTGTGGGTGTGGGTGTAGAACAATAGATACGCCCGCAACTCCGACACCCACACCCTATCAATTATAATGGCACTGTTATAATTATATTTGTAATCTAAATAATGACTACTATTAGTGAAGCCTCTTAATCTTAATTATAATCATTATCTTGAGTAGAAATCAGATTCAAATCTAAGCCTTTTATATGTGCTTAACTGTTGTTTCTTTCGGTTTTGCTTTATGAGCGTGCTTATAAGTCCTCTCTTGAAAATACTTCGATACTACATATCGATGCGCATACTCTATTCAATGTTGTTGAAGATACATCCTTGATATGGATGCAGGTAGAGATAAAGTTAAAAAATAAGAACATCCATCATTATTCCTTCGAATACAAAGAAAATTTCAAATAGACTCATTACTAAAAACTCAACTTTACAAGAGCAACATTTGCTCATTTGTTGACATCAACACATGCATGCACTTTATGTTTTTCCTCGATAAAAGAACGAAAAATACCATGAAGTCATTTTTTTCCCAATGACACATGAACTTGGAATTGTCGATTTCTTCTCAAAAGCAAAAATTGTTGGTTTTGTTTGTGCAAGAAAAGAAAATAATCACTGTTCGTTGTATATATATATTGGAGATTTTTTTCTTACACCACAAATTGTTATTAAACAATTTATATCTCTTGCACTGTTCGCTTCACGTTGCTCTTATTTCACAATACATTAGTTGTTTCGTGAAGATTCAAGAAATATTCGTCGTTGAATAATGTTATCATCGATTAATTCATCTTTAAAAAAACGGAGATTATTCAGCATGAAACTGTTCCTCATATCAAACCAGATCAATTGATTGTATGTCCTTCTCTCGATATGCGTTCCACACGTATCGATGAATTTGAGCATAAAGATCTTTCATTAATTCAACTGTTCAACATTATTCTACTTTACAACGATAAAATCTATAGTGTTTGGTAAGTTATTCAATAGTTCTGTTAGGAAGTACAATTTAGACTTAGGTACAAAAGCGATATATTTTTTCATCAGTGACAGCGAAATTTTCTCTGAAAATTTAAAATAATTAGTACGTACATGTCATAGTGTACACGAAGCGATATAATCGACTTTTTATGTTTTTAACGCATATATTAGCTACCCTCATCATCAAAATTAATTTTTCCATTTTCATGATAGTTTGATATAACTTGTCGAGTCACATTATGAAAAGTGTGTCCAATTGAAAACTAAATATAATAGTAAGTTTTATGAAAACTAGAATTTCGGGTAGTTTTCCCGTTATATTGGACTGTAATTGTATCTTGGGCTCTTTTCAGTTTGAAGCACACTTTTCCTAATGCGACTCGATGATCTCTATCAAATCATCATGAAAGCAGAAACATTATCCATGCACACTTTACAATGTATTTACTATTTAAAATTTGTTAGTTTGATGATGAAAGCCTTGATTTGACCTAAACATTGTTCATCTTCTTGATAATCAATAAAAGACGTTTCACTATCAGTATCAATATGTGCTCTTCATTGATATAGTATGAACGATCACGTCAAATTAATGGACTTGCTTTTGCAGCTTGTTGCACACAGTATTTTGACTAAGAACGAAGCAGAAGTTTGTGGACTTTATACGACGCAAGACGAAGAATTTCCTCTGGCCGTCACTCATCGATTCAGTGCAATTGATCATGGTCATTTCTTTTATGTTAAGCCGAAACCAAAACTGTTATTGGACAACACATGGTTTTTAATTGTGCGATCCCATGACCAAAGTTTTAAAGTTAGCGTCGATCTCGAATCGGAAACAGTAGCGACACTCAATAGACGCATTCAAATGCAACATGGAAAATGTGAAGACGAATATGTTTTAGTGTATAGGGGGAAACCCCTAACGGGTACGAGCAAATTGTTAGATTATGGCATCAACAACAGAGACACAGTAACATATTTACAAAGAATGCGAAAACCAATTATTCGATTACGAAGTAATCATGGTGAAATTATCAACAACGTCAATTTGTCCATAGAGCTTGATCCAAATATCTGGCAATTAACTAGTGTTTATCCTAAACCATCGATCACGAATAAAATATCATTCATACAATGGAATAATATGCAAGTATACAGTGACGGAAAAATCATCCTCAAATCCGATAGTGAAAACAACATTGGTAAGTGTATAGGACTAGATTCTATTCTGTAGCTAGTAGTAAAATAGTTTTGAATCAGCTGATATCTCACCAAGTACTCCATCAACTTCAGTTCGTATGAGATTATCTGATTAACTAACTCTTGGAAGCTGATAAACTGCTATAATACTGAATAAAAACGCTGTTAGCGCAATCCCTATGGGATTAAAATGTGAAGCACAACATACCTACTGCTACTATGTAATTACCGGTATCCTGTTTCATTCGATCTACTTTAATATACATTAGTTCCCTTCAACTAAAATAAGGAAGCAGCTCATGTGATGTCTCTGAAGGTCAGTAATGTGGAGATGGAGTGTAGATTTTGATGAACCTCTATCCAACTAAAACGTCAGAGGTACAATTTTGGTCATAAACTTGTTTTACATACAGATCAAGGAACTCTATCCAATGGTATACTCATATTTTCATGAGCGCTAATGGTGTTTTATAAAATCCTCAATAATGAAATAACACTATAGGAGATTTTGAAGAGCTACATTAATGTAATAAAAAGTCCAATTGTATCAAGGGATAGACCACGTTGAAGTGCATTTAGAACAAGCTCATAAACGAATTATCTATTAAATTATTCGAATTAGTGTCTAGTACTAATTAATTATTTCGAATAGATCGATTATATTCATCAATTAGTGATGAACAAGAACATCGGATGCTATTCTGGGAGGCATCTACAAACAGTAAGTCATGGAACAAGGCACATGAAGCTAGCTTGTGCGTGCCACGAGATGACTTTGCACGGATTCTCAATTACGCACTCAAAAGAATGGGGTTCTTGTCTGAAGATCAAGATGTATGTATTAATTTGCGTATAGAACAAAGAAGTTTCTATTTTTCTGAATTATTCATAGGATCTGTTGACCTTCGTCTTGCCACAGTTAGATGAAGTCGATGCTGCTCAAACACAGAAGAAAATCGTCTTTTATTTTCTGTCGCCGGATTTCTATTCGACTGCGGCACGACTTATTGTTCATCCAATTCCTCAACAAATCATTCGTGTCTATATGATCTTCGGGTTCGGCAATAACGAGCAAAATATTTCGACACTGGATGAATTGAACATTGCAATTGATCGAACTATTACTTCTGGAAATTCTACCAATAGTGGCCTGGTCGTTCATGAATGGGGTACAATGTTTATGAGTCAATGGCATCTCTAAATGCTTTGCTTTAAGCCAAGAATGAACAATTCTTTCTGATATATAAAGGAACCATTATAAGATGTTGTTTGATCTTTCTTAACCCTTTAGGATCGATGGTACAATGGTTGTACCACCTGTTTTTCAATAAAGAGAAAATTCTAAAGTAGCCTCGCCACAGTCTATTCTTCATTTTGACAACGAAATTGTTAGCTTGTCGTGTTCGAGCTCAAAGTTTATCATATCGATTTGTCCACAACAACAAGTTCACACATAAATAGAGAGAGAGAAACCAACGAGAGAACAATTGCAACGCCGGGGATGGCGTAGTGGTTCTATGCATATGATTATTATTAATCAGAAATGTGAAGGTTCGATCCCTTCCCCCGGTACGGTGTCTTCGATGTCAAGATATACGGTATCGGAAGAATAAACAAAGGAAGAACAGTACTGCACGGCAATTTCGTCATCACTGCCTTGATTTCGACTATCGTTCTGTTGTTTCCGTAAGCGTCCACAAAAATCACAAAAAAGATATATAAATGGATGCCACGAATAAATATAGTGCATAAACCAAAAAATATTAGAATTTGTTGTATTTCTGGACGATCTTCAATGATCTTATCTTCCACAAAATGTCTAGACCAGCGCATAGTGCTATATGAAGTAACCATTTTAGTACAGATTTCAATTTTTTTGTGCACTCCCTATTATCTGTAGCTGGGTGTGGGTGTGAATGTACGTGTGCAAATGTTATACGATAGATCCAGAAGTGAACTAACACTCACACTACAGACCCATACCCGCAGTGTGGGATGCAATGGTGACGGTGTATCGCCGGTTAACCGTCCACTGGTAACCGGTCCATTGGTAACCGGTCGTACTAAACCTGCTCTGATTTGAACTAGTTGCTAATGGCAATAATTACTTTCGATCGCCCATGGTTTTGACAGAACCTTAGCTACCACAAATGTAATTATTCAAAGTCAAAATTTTAAGCTGAGGAGATATTAATGGGGTTGGCCTATTTTCTTTCTTTTTAGATATCCTAATAATTGCTGATAGTGGAGCTGTTACACAGATGATTTAACTGCATAGAATACTCACTTACAGACGTCATATACGTATCCATATACTCATAGTTGAACTACTCTGAAAGAAAAAAAGGAGCTTTACAGAACCATTTTAGGGGTTCTAGTGTCGGGTAAAACGTAGAACCCTCAAAAAAGGTTCTGCCTGAAAAAAGGTTCAGTAAAGAAATAACGAAACCATATGTGATTTTTCTTCAGAAAAGGTTCTGTCCTACGTATAAGGTGTTCCATGATTTAAATGGCTTACCGTTGGGATTTCTATTATCACTGTATCCATATTTCGATATTATTATATTCATACCCTTATATCTATACCTTATATCTATACCCTTACAATGTTACCCTTACATCTATACCCTTAAACTATACCCTTGCAATTTCACCCTTACATCTATACCCTTAAACTATACCCTTACAACTATACCCTTAAAACTATACCCTAAAGTATATCCTAATACAGAGTGTAATATAATTATAAGTCACCCTATACTGAGTGCAGAAAAAATAGGTTTCTATTTTACAAGTGAGCCTAGATATTGATTTGATACGTTCATTCAGCACATACATATACATGATATATTAAGATGTGATTACTGCCTTTTCTCTTCTTTTCGACATGTGTAAAAATGGTTAGAAAGAAAAACATGCTATAACATAATTATAAGGCCCTCTTTCACTGTTTGTATATCTTTTTCGTTCGGATTTGTTCGAAGTTAGTTTGTTTATTATATACTGACCTTTGGTAAAATGCATTGTATTCTGCAAGAAAGATAATGGGGGAAAAGGCTGTTAGTATTGATACAAAGAAGGGAATCATACTTTTACGCGATACTGGTATGTGCCAACATGAAATTTCAAGAAAATTAAATGTTTATCGGACGTGCGTGCGTCAGACCATTCGCAAGTTCAATGAGCTTCATACGACAGCTACAAAACTTGGTGCTGGGCGTCCTTTCAAAATGACACGTCGTCAAAAGCTCGCCATTAAACTTCAACAACTTCGTGATGATACTCTTTCGTTGAATGATCTTGTTCGATATGCTCAAGCAAGTTTGAATTTAAATATCAGTCGTCAAACAGTAAGCCGTATCCTACGTGAATTCGATTTGGTTTCGTACGTCGCACCAAAAAAGCCTAAAATCACTCATGAGCAAAGACGTTGTCGAATTTTTTGGTGCTATAAGCATTTGAACTGGACCGAAACCGATTGGTCTAACGTTATATTTTCCGATGAAGCGAATTTTGAAATAGTAAATCGGAACAACAGAATCTATATACGTAGATTTCGGAATGATCTAAAGCGTCATGAACGATTTCAACCAAGGGTACATCGAGGTGGTGGTTTGGGTATTTGGTCTTATATTACGTACAATGACTTGGGGCCGTTAGTTTTCTTCAATGGGCGTTTAAACTCGGATAAATATATAGAGATACTCGAGAACAATTTACCCAACGCATTTGAAAAATTTTCATCGGAGCAATCGAAAAAAGTTTTGTATCAACAAGATAACGCTCGTCCCCATACGTCAGCTAAAACCTCCAAATATTTCAAGAAAAAACATATTAAACTGATTCCATGGCAAGCTCGGAGCCCCGACCTGAACATAATAGAAAATATATGGTCTATAGTCGATCAAAAATTGTTGAAATACAGTATTAGCAACATGGCATAGCTTGAAGAAGCACTTAAGACCGTTTGGGCAGAAATTTCGAAATATGTGACAAGAAAACTTTTTTAATCCATACCCACCAGATTTCGTCAAGTTATCAATAATAAAGGTTATGCCTGTTGTTATTGAGCTTTGTGTTTGTTAAACAAATATATGCAGAAGAAAATAAACAACTAGATAAATAATGAAAGGGGCCTTATAATTATGTTATAGCATGTTTTTCTTTCTAACCATTTTTACACATGTCGAAAAGAAGAGAAAAGGCAGTAATCACATCTTCATATATCATGTATATGTATGTGCTGAATGAACGTATCAAATCAATATCTAGGCTCACTTGTAAAATAGAAACCTATTTTTTCTGCATTCAGTATAGGGGGGCTTATAATTATGTTACACCCTGTAGTTATTTACCAGATTTAGCATATATTACCTAGGCGTTGAGGAAACTATGGTGATTTGTTTCAATCTTTTCCCGGGAATGACAATCAGGTGAAAATGTAAAAACAAAAGTAAAATTACTTGAGAAGAAAACAAAATTCACCCCATGTCAACGGTTTAAGGGCAAAAAGCATTCTCGAGCGATGAAAAAGTCGAATATTAGAGCACAATAACGTATCATGGAGTAAAATAAAGAAGAAAGTATGCAATAAAATAATTCTACTGAATGTACCTTAAATTATATTTGAAAAAATATTTTCTGTCGAAATTTTGATAAAAGACTTCATAGTAAATATATCTGGCATCATACTGTGTCTCTCAAAGCCTTTTATGGCAGCACGTTTGAACTGTGAAACCCTAAAGAATTGAGCAGAAATGAGAAAATATTTTCCACTTCAGTATTTTTGGGTACAGAATTTGTTTTAAGAATGAATCATTTTTTGACAGAACCTTTCAAGATTCAGTCTTATTGTACAAAACTTCTTCGGTGTAGCACTGCAGAAACAGAACCTTTTGAGTTCCGCATTTTTGACTAGAGAACAATTCATGTTTCGGTATTTTTTCATAGAATCTTAATAGGTTCAGTGTCATTGTGCAGAACCCTTTCGGTTCAGTATTCTTCAACACAGAACTTTTTATGGTTTTGAATCTTTTCCCGAAACCTTCAAAAGTTCAGTGCTGTCGGACAGAACTTGAAATGGTTCCGAATGAGCTACAGAACCATAAAAGGGTTCTGCAGAACTCCTTTTTTTCTTTCAGAGTAAAGGAAACACCCCAGTGTAAATCCACAAAATTTGCGGAACCACCTCCAGATAGGATGCAAAAAGTCACAGGGATAACATCTAGATAGGACCTAAGGGATTGAAGGGCTACCGCTACTTATAGTCCAAATAATACTAATGAATAGAAGTAATTCCACAATCAAGTTCTTTATTGCTTTATTTCTTCCTTATTACTTTATTTCTTCCTTATTACTTTATTCATTTCCCTGGCTTGTAGTTGGTCCTTTGAATTATAAATAACAGTTACTACTTATTGCCGTTAATATTAATGTGCTACCCCTACTAGACGTATATAATAATATCCTAGCTAAATTCCTTGGTGGTTTCCGGTAGCAAGTTAAGCGAGTTTCAGAAACAAACATTCGGAAACTATGGTTTTCCAAATTTTAATGAGCCTATTCTAGCTCTTATTGTCAATTCATCGAGTAACAAATATTTAGTTAAATCGATTCACTATATTAAATAAAAAAAACTGTACGAAATACTATACTGTAATTTTATATAAATATAGCTACAGTGGGCTCATTATTACTGATTTCTTGCATATTCTATTTAGTGAAGAAACGCTCACGCTTATGAGCACTCGTGAGCGTGAGCTGCACGCCCCTAATTCAATAGGGTCAATGTTTTTTACATCGTTTGAAGATTGCTGTAAAGCGAATCAGTTTTTGATGGATTGTGGTAGACTCCGATGTATTTAGTAGATTGAAGTAACTTCTAATAGATTTCCGTACATTTCAGTCAATATATTGCCCAATCGAATACCATTTACCAGGACTACGAGGATCGACAGGATCCGCTCCCTCCCTCCCCCCCCTTGCGTAATGTGCTCAACTTGCAAAGGCAATTGATACACAACAAAAGATAAAAATGATCTTTAACAAATATTCTTTGTAACAACATTACAAATGACTTCATTCGTATGCTGATAAATTTGTTGATCTTTATATTATAATTGATACATAAGCTTATGGTATAATTGAAAATGTTCTTTAATAAATGTAAGCATATAGCGTTATTTGAGATTGGACACTTCATATACAAGCTGATGATCTATATCAACATTACAAACAAATTCTGCACCTATAACATTATTTTTGATTTCATATTTAAAAATAAACATTTTTTCTTCCCTCTTTATTTTTGAATGTTTTGAATTTCTAACTTTGTATTTTCTTTGTGCTTTAAAAATATTTGTATTGCAGAGCCCTATGATGATTGTTTTAAAATTTTAATAAATAACACGAAACGCGTCGGCAAATTAAACTCTGCATTTCTTTAATGATTTTTTTTATATCAAGCACAATAACTTGTTGTTTTAACACATTCATTTAATTTTGACAAAACAATCGATTGCTGAAAAGCAAGAGTTGAGAATAGCAGATTGGCTTCTATCTATTCTTTCAACATAGATAGACCAGCCTGTTTTTTATTTAATTTATTGAATTATTCTGATACGAAATTATATGTGTTAGACTTTGACGATTAAAATTTGATCTACCTTTTAGAATCATTCGCACAATACTATTATAATACATGAAATGTTTAGATATTGCCTACTATTATTAAAAGATATCAGTATCATAGAAAAATCAGTGTATACGATGAACAGACTGTCTTACAGCTTCATGTTCATCTCAGAAACAACACCGACAAAGTATCCTACAGTTTCTGTTAAAAAACTCATTCATTTTTCGGGCTGTCATAAAATGAATTCAAACTAGGATGTTCGTGATAATTAACATTTTAATCAATTGGTGATTGTCATATACTGCCGGTACCACTCTCACTTCTACATCTCATATGTTTCGCGTCCTAGAAGAACTCAAACTATGACACTAAAACTTTACCCATTAAAGCTTATAATCAGAGCAAATAGATCAAGACAAAATATATAGGAAATAAGATCGCAGCCAAGTGCGTTAAATTGTTTTTTTAAATTCGGAATTTCTCTCATTTCTAAAGCATTTCCTAAAATATAAATTCGTCGAATCGGTGAATATCCTATTTTCCATCGAATTTTATATTCTTTCAATGTATCAATTAGTCTTCGTATTGATTCGCTTGTGATTAAATTAAAAGTCAAATTCAGTATTCCAACTGGCCACCACGATGTATTATTCATTTCGATAGTTTTATCCGACGATAATAACATTTGACAAAGCCATTGAACAAAATTATTATTAAGATTATTATAAGCTAAACTAAGTTCAACTAAATGTTTTGCATATAACATTAAATAAGTAAATGCATCCTGTATAACTATCGATTGTTGATTATTATTCCAAGTAAGACCAATTCTTTCAAAATGAAATACAGTTAACACAGCTGGTGTATTCAAAGATGAGAAAAATTGTTTAAGATGAATTGGACGAATACGAATATTTCGAAGACGTACATCAGATATATGATGTAAAAATGTTTGACACCACGTATATTGATCAAATATCGTACATTCGAGAATAGATGAAAGCTCGAGACGATGGAGTTTTGACATTATATTACGTGATAATTTATATAATAGACGAATATGAATATATTGCATATGACGTCTAAGAAAAAACGATTTTGGTCATGCTAATACATCGAAAATTTTCCTCTGGATTTACTCGCGCCAGATAAATTGTTCTAGAGAAGAATTTTGTATAAATTCAGCTTGTTCAACATCTGATAAATGAATACCATTGGTTAATAATGAAAACATTTTAATTGTATCTAATCTTAAGTGTTTAAGATTGATATTTATATTTTTATGATTAATTTTAGTTTGAAATAAATGAAGAAGAAAACCAATAGAACCATGTATTAATGAAATACTTGTTAGATTCAACGATTGCAGTTGTGATCGATTACATAGAGTAAATAGAGTTGTTTCAAGTTGAGATGAATAAATCGCAAAATTAACTAAAGTTAAATGATGAATTTGATTCATACCTTTATGAAGAAAATTTCTTCTCAGGAGTTATGTAATTGAAACAGTTTTTTTTTCAAGTTACCTAATAAAGCAACAGCAATCATTTCAATTGTTTCAAACGATGAAACATAATAGATGGAAAGATTTGTTAATGAATTTGTTTGATATTGTGGAGTTAAATGAACTAATAGATATTTTTCTTTGCTATCTTCAATTACTTGTTGTTTTCTTGTGGAATTCGATGTTTCTGAAGCTGGAACAACAATAGTTGTTGTTTGCTGTCGAAATAAATTACTATCACTCGACGAAATGGGTTCTGCTATAAGATTTGTCACTGGTTGTATTCTTGTAACAGATTGTTCAGATGTCGAGATATGTCGAATGGGTGTTAGTATAGATCGACGATTTGAATATTGTTGCAAATTTCGAGATCGATTTAAATAAGGAAGTAGACGCTCATACGGTTCGATTGTTGGTCTACAATAATAGATTATTAGTAAAAGAATTTAAGATAATCGTTTCTTCGTGAAGATCAAACCTGCTATGATCAGATAATGAAGTAAGATGACTTGATTCAATAATTGGCATATCTGCTTGAATAGGATCATCCGATGGTAGATGTTGTTGTAAAGTTGATTGTGAAAAATGATTTTCAATAGCTAATGTTGACAGAACATCTAATGAATCATGTGAACTACGAATGGATTCAGATATGACAGCATGTGTTGTATCGGTTGAGTTGCTATCTTCGTATTCGATTAAATGATCATCATTTGATTCGAACCGATGTAGATTAGTAGAATTTTCTTGAAGTGAATGTATTTCTACTTGTAGACATTGTTGTCTCTGGCGATGAGGTAAAATAAAATTTTGTGTAAATAAATTCGATGGTTTATTATCATTTTCATTGCTTGTTGATAAATAAGATAATGAATATGAACGTGGATAGATTAATAATGGCGAGAGAATATTCAATAAACAATAGGATGGAAATTTTAAAACAATATTCGTAATATGACCTCGTGTTAAAATATCTAAAATAAATTTCATTCCATGATAATCACTTTCAGTTGGATAACCACTTAAGACAATATCGGTGACATTTTCTGTAAAACATTCCATTAATAAAGGATCAATTTTTGTTAAATTCCAAACATTTGGTACAAGAATAAAACTGAAAAAGCAAATTCAATGTATATTTTCTATTCTAGTTCATCAATACCGTTTGATATATTTATTCCATTGATGATTCCAAATAATGGCAAGACTTTGATTATCATCTGATAGTCGTCTTTTAGAACAATAGATAATTGAATCTCTTGTTAGATTATATTTTATGTGTTCAATAAATGATAAATTAACAATTGATTTCGATATATTTATTTGTGATATATGTATATAAATACCTAACTGTAAAATTTGTGTATCATGAAAAAGATATTCGAAATAGAGACGTTTATAAGGAATATCGAATATGGATTCGTATGAATCTTTATCATCGCGTGATATGGACCAAATTAATTCGAAATGACGACGCCAAAGGTCATTTGTTTGAATGTGTCGTATTCGATAGATAAAATCGAAACGTTCGAGTTCATATGGAGATAAATATGGAAGTATGTCACGTAAACATGAGATAGGCAATTGTTTTAAATTATTTCGATTTAAACAAGAACTTTTTAATACATTTCTAAGACATGTATCATAGAGTGTAACAACAGGCATTATTAAAAACACTGACTCACTGTTTTCTTAGAAGGTAATATTCAATTTACAAAACACAAAGACTATTCAATACAAAAAAAAATAATAATTCAAAAGCGCTTTTTATTTTCTGTTTTTGTTTTGCTTCTATAGAAAGGAAAAGTTTTCAATCATGTGTCGATATAAAATGTCTCCGATTTGTTTACATACGACAAAACTTGTGATAAATGTATGCATTTTTATGTTATTGATCTACATCAGAGCGGAATGAATCTCTCAACAACATAATATCTAGCATGGCATAACCGTCAGAGTTGATAGTAGTTTCATGCTGACGCTATGGTGTCAAGGATCATCGTAGGCATGTGATAGAAAACAACAATAAAATGGCAAATACAATCATAGGATACTAGCAGAAAAGCACTCGTCTGACTGAGTGTCTGTCTACTTGTATAGTCTTGTGTATCTTAGGAAATTAACGTTATATACACAAGAGGTCTCTGCAATAGGATATTAGCGATAGTAGGCGCACTAAAATTGGTCCCTTAAGGGAATAACGGTAGAGCAACAGAACAGCCTTGACCAATCATTATTGTTGAAAAGAATAAGAATAGAACAGAACAGTTAGGAGAAGAAAAGGAGCGAAAAGAAAAAGATATCGGTCGTACGTTTATATGTGCGTATAAACAAGGACATAGAGAAGCGTACGTCTTGTTAATCGTGATTATTATTTTTCTTTATTCATATACATCCACTCGTACCCATCTACCCTCTTTCTCTCTTGTACGTTTTTAAGAAGGTGAAATGTAAGTCAGCCTCATCGTATTGTAAAGCGAATGCAGAATAAAAAATTATTTTCTCTCCTAGAACCAATGGTTGCCTCGTTAGATTATGGATATTTGTCAACACCAACTGGCCTACTAAACATAGCCGAAATCGTATGTCGAGTTTCATTGCATGTTAATTTTTATAAAGAAGAAAAAAACCGAGAATAGCTATGTTTCGGTTCAATGATCGTAACTTTTTTTTTTTTGTATAAAGATTTGAATGTTCATCAATCGAGAACATAAGAATAGAAATGTTTATTTTCATCCGTCTATGATGTAATATATAGATCAATAAACAAAGATGTAAACAAACAGTCAATAAAAATTATGTTTGATTTTTAGCGATTGATGAAGTAAATTGCTCACTCAATTAATTAATAATGTGAATAGAGCTGATATGTTTCTAAACATTTTGAAAATTGAACACGATTTAATAGCTTTTGGGGAAAACTATAATAAATTGAATTGAATACGAAGACAAAAAAGAACATTTAGTTATTACCGTTCATGATCGATAACTAATGACACTCAGATGGATTACCTTGATGTCACACTCTACGTGAATAATTGATTATTTTCTTTCTCAGGTTATATTAATTGGTGCACTCATTAGTGTTGCATTTACATCTCCATTATATTGTGAATTAGTCGATAACTTGAAATGGATATATCCCGATTTAAATACCTTAGCCGTTCGACATGTATTTCAAGTATTTACTATTCTTTGTTTAACTGTAACGATCATTATTCTTCTTGCACATTTATATGGAATACGTTATTCAGGCAAAACTTTTGCTTATTTAAATCAAACTGTAAGAAAAAAAAAGATTTAATTTATTGTTTTTTTACTGTTTGTATTTCTCTAGTGTTTAATCGCTAATGTCATTATGGCATTGATGATGCTATCAATTGGTATATGTGCTGCATTATGGGAAGATAAATTAAGACGAACACCAGGAATAATTAGACGTGGATATTTTTCAAATAGGTATCAAATTGTTTTCAATGAAGAAACACATCCGAGACCTGGAGCTGCTGCAGCTGCAGCCGTAAGTTCATTAACGTACAAAAATGAAATCCATTATTCCATTATGAAAACATCTGCTTCTAGGCGTTTGCTCTTCTAGCTGGTATACTTTTTATAATCGAAGCTTGCACTCGACCGATGCTAAGTACTGGTGTAACACGTCTACCAACACACTCATCAGATCGACCTACTTACACAGTTTCAACCAGTACCCAACGTCCATCAAATAATAATCCAACTAGTGGCGAACGTATAATCCCTATTGAAACAACAAAATCACAAAATCGAGTTTAATTTACATATCCCGGCTTTTATGTATGTGTGTGTGTGTGTGTTGAACTTTTGTCTTCTTGATTATTTTAACTGCATGTAGTTTTATCTTTTAATTTTTTTTCTACGCGCATTTTCATTTTAAGAAAATTTCTCATTTCTAATTATGGTTCGTATTTCATCAAAGAAATCCTCATGTACATCACAGCCATCAATTGAAATAAATTCAACTACGAACGATCAATCATCATCAAAAATTCTTAATGTTGTACGACAAGCATTACTCAATGCTGCTGAAGAACTTGTTTCTCAGCAGCAACAGCAGCAACAACAACTTAATGAAAATCAATTGGATAATACACTTCCATTTCATACATTAGATATTCAGAATAGTGATTCAAATAATTCTTCACCACGAAATGGAAATAGAATAAAAAAGAAAAAACTTGTGGAGAAAAAACTTGCATGTAAAAAGAAAAAAGTTCTAAAAAACAAACGACGGAAATAAAATTTCGATTGTATTTTCGAATATACGAATTTTATTTGATGAATAAAAAAGTTATCAAGAAAAAAAGAAAGTAAAGATTTTGTCTGCCATTCCATCAAAGTAATTCGGCAAGAATTTTGTGGAAGTACAGTTGAGTTAGTTGGTAAAATGTGTTCATCTTTACGCGATAGAATATTCCTTTCATTAATACATCGGAGGTTATAGAGAAATAAGCCTGATAAAAGCTTTTTTTTTTCTTTTTATTAAAATTTACTTTTAACTCTTCTCTCTCTTTAGTTCACGAGTTTCAAGTGTTGGAGTTACTTAGAAACAGCTATTTTATCGTTGAGAGCTATTTCATTTTCTTTTAGGCCCTTTTCATCTATCATAAATTTGCAAGTCAAATATATAGGAGCATCAGACATAGTTCTACTCTTGTATCATTATATATTATTTTTATCCTGCTTGCAAATCATTCTAAAAATCTTTTTTTCTTCTTTGAATTTAATCTCTGTTGGCATAGATTGTTTATTAGAAATCTCAAACAAGAATTCATATTTTGGGTGTAAATCTCTTGTCGAGGGCGTGAGCGTGGGCATAGAAAACAAAACTCACACTCACGTCCACCTTCAGATCCATCAACAGTCATATGCCAGTCACCCGCACACCAACGCAAATAAAATTTCTATTGTATTTTCGAATATACGAATTTTATTTGATGAATAAAAAAAAAATATCAAGAAAAGAAAAAGAGAAAGTAAAGATTTTTTCTGTCATTTCATCAAAGTAATTCGTTAAGAATTTTGTGGAAGTATGGCTGGATTAGGTGGTAAAATATGTCCACCTTTACGTGATAGAATAACTATTTCAGCTTTTAATGCTTCTATTTCTTGTGCTTGTAATTGAACAAGAGTACATAGACGATCGAATTCTTCGACACTTTGTTTTGATGGACCTGTAAATTCATCAGCCTAAAGAAAAACAAAATTTCAGTTTATGACGAAAACAATAATCAATTGAACAAATAGAAAATACTAACAGCTTTCGTTTTGCGTGAGATCAGTTGTTCATCGAGAAGACGTCTTTCATCAACAATATCAGTTAGTTCATCAAGACGTTTTGTATTCGTTTTTAATAAATCAATTGTATCGTCATTTTCTTCGATTTTACGAAGCTAAAATAAAAATTTGAATAGATTTCTTAAATATCATCGGATGTCCAAAGTCTTCGTGCGTAGTCAATATTATTCCTTAGATTAATACATCGGAACTATTTCATTTTCTTTCAGGTCTTTATAGAGGAGTAGCAGACACGGTTCTACTCGCGTATTATTTTTATTCTTTGAATTGAATCTCTGTTGACATAGATAGTTTTATAGAAATTTCAAACACGAATTCATTTTTTTCTATCTGTATGAAAAACGAAACGATTATGAACTGTCTAAATGTAAACCCTAAGTTGTTCAATCAATCATTATATACCTCATATTGTGTCATTGTATTGTAATATTCATCACCAGCATCGTCAAGTCGTTGCTTAAGTTCTTCAATTTGTAGATTAACAATGGCTCCTTCTAGTTTTTCTAATTGAACTAATTTGCCGAATTTCTCTGCCATTAATTTATTACATTCATCAGTTAAACGTTTTATAACTTGAGCAGCATGTTTTACTTCATGTGACAAATCTTTTCGTTCTTGTTTTCGATTTCTAAAAATATTTCAATGAAAGAAAAACCGAAATAAAATATGTTGAGCTTTGCTTTTTATTGCATATATTTACACATATCGTTCTTTTTCTCGTTTGATTTCTGCTCTCACATCCACAATACGACTTGTTAAGCCTGATTTATTGATCCTATTAAATATTAATGCGTCCGATAAATCATCTGGTAAATGAGTTGAACGATCATAACGAATTTGATGAGAGCGAATGCCAGTAGCAACATTAATATCATTGATCTTTCTTTGTTTCTTTTTCTATAGGCATAAAAAATAATTGAATGATAGTAAATGATTCGTCCTGTTTTCAGTTACTTGGAAGTCAATCAAATCAGCATGTTTTGCTTTCAATTCAGCATCAACTTTATTTGCGTAAACTTGTGTTTGTCCAAGTGTTTGTTGTAACGCTTGTAGAACTGTTTTTTCATCTGCTATGGCTTCATCTAGAATAAAGTAATGATGTTAGATTGTGATGATAAAATAAATGAATTCAAGATTTTTACCAAGATCAAGCCGTTTTTCACGTAAAGCAACAATATCATCATACAGCTTTTGATCAAGATTTGGCGGACAAATATCAACATCAAGTTGTCGTGTTGTATCTTCATTGGCTACTTGATCTTCATCTTCATCATCTTCAAGTTCCCAATCTTCATCTTCATCAAAATCTTGAGACATATCGTCAGCATCTATTTAAAAAAATAAAACTAAAATCTGTACATTTTTTTTTAAAGATGCGACAGTATGTAGTATTTTTCTTGTAACTTATTTTTCATATTTGGATTGAAACTAATCGACCTATTGTTACATAGCATAATAATATTCTCACCAATAGTATATTTTTACTAGACAAGAAGCAACTTTATTTCTTAAATTTTCTGGAAGGTTAGCCCAGGCTAATCGAACAGCATTTTCATTCATGCTAACACATGACATCTGAGTATGGAGAACGATTCTCAGGCACCAATCATCAATACATACCGTCAGCTTCTTCTCCTTCAACACGTTTCTTTCGCTTTATTTTTTTGTTCAAAACTCGAAGTAGATAGTTGTAGAATTTATGTTCTTTTGATACCATTTCATCATAACGTCCATAGATATGTTTCATTCGTTCATCTAAACTATCAATATCTTTCTTTTTAGCATCGATTTTTCCAAGGAATTCATTGATCTAGAATTTGCAAAACAACAATTGGTTTTATTACCGAAAAATTTAATTTTACCCTCGTTTGTTCATTATCATATCGTTTTTGAGCTTCTGCTAGTTTACTCTCTAAATCGTTTTCTGTTCTTTCAAATTCTTTCATTAACATTAATTCTTCATAGAATGTAACACATCGAAGATCAGTTTCTTTAGCTCGTAATGTTTTAATTATTTTAAGATAATACAACAAGCAAACATCATTATCAAATCGATGCATTGTTTCTTGAACATTTTCAAGTATTCTATCACGTTCGAAAAAAGATCTAAAAACAGCAAAATAAAAAATTTATATTTTTTAATTTTAGCTAACTAACCGATAGGCAAACGGATTTGATTTTGAATTTTCCTGATTTTGAATTTCTCGTAGAACACTAGCTGGCGTAGGATTACTGATGGCTTCATTCGAACGATCTTTATTAATAGCATGGGATGGTAATGGTTCTTTTAAATTCACAGACCAACGAAGATCAATCGCACGTTTTAAGGATGACGCTTGCCGAGTATTAGAACTTGAAGAGTCTTCTTCAGGCTTGGTTAAATCGCCATTGCGTTGTTCATGTTCTTCACGAAATGCTTGAATTTCTTCATTAGTAAATTGAAAACGACTAAAAATAATATGCTTCTATGAAGAGAAGGATATTTTGTTGTATTCCTAAATTTTACCCTTCGTCTCCATCTTGAACAGGTGGTAATAGTGGAATATTGAATAGTTCTTGATGATTGGATTGATTTTGACCAAGATTTTTTAATCTTTTCAGTTCGTTATTGATTTGTTCGGCTAGAGTACGTTTACGTTGAATAAGATTCAAAACACGTTTGTTAAATTCTCGTTTATAAGTGTATGTCTAAACATAAATATGCTTGCAAGTTGTTTCTTTTCTATTCTTCAAAAGAAGCTATATCAGTGGTGAAAAGCGCTTTTTTCTTTTGATAGGAATTTCTGTAGAATTACCGTATATCTCAATTTCATGATTCGATCAAGTGCGCGTAGAACAGTAAGCCGTTGTTCAAGTGGTACAACAAAATCGGCTGCTGATTTCAAGAAATAATTTCCCATATTCTCTCTTGCATAACGAATACTATCAACTTCAGTTGGATCATCAAAGCCTTCTGGTTTTTTCTTCTGATAAAGTATTGCCCACTGAAACAAAGATATTCAAAAAAAAAATATATGTCAATCTAATTCACATTGGCAAAAAAAATGTCATTTTTAAAAACCTCTTCTTTTCGTTTTTGTCGTCGTTTCGCACGTTCTTCCATTTTACGAAGTAAACGTTCTACGCGCATTGCTTTAGCACCTTTCAATTTTGTTGTTGACGTTTTCGTATCGGTACTGCGTGCTTCTCTGTTTTCACCAGCTCTTTCGTCTATTGAAAAATAAAATAAAATCATCATGAAAAATTCTGCTTTCACTTCATTACCGGACACATCAACAGTTTCTTTTCTTTTTCCTTTATCCATTAAAGCAGTTTTTTGTCGTTCAATTTCTTCTTGCATTTCATAGAAATCCTGTGGTAATTCTAAATGAAATAGAATTAAAAGCTTTATAATAACAAATATCGAAATATTCTTCTTACCAATAGTACGAAATGTACTAACTTCCCATTGACCATCAAAACTTTTAACAGAAACAACATCTTGGACAACAGGATCGATAAACCTGAAATAGAAAAATTGATTTCAATAAAAATCAATAATGAAAGTATTTTCTACCATTGTTCTAATTTTCTTAATGCAATATTACAACGTTCAGATTCCCATGCTAATTCTTTAATAGATAAATCAACTTTATCTTGAAGTTCAGCAAGAAAATTTTCTCGAATATGTTGATCAAGAATAAAATCCTAAAGATAAATTTCGTCTTATTGACTTTACCATCTAATCTAATTACTTGACGAGCAATTTTTAGATCAGTAGGCAGTTGATCATTTTCCATTAATAATTTTCTAAACTTTCCTCTTAAACCTTCAATTCTTTGTCGCATTTCATTTTTTAATCCTTCTGCTGTTTTTTTCATTTTATCTTGTTCAGCCTTTTGTTTTTCTTCTTCGATCGAGTAATGATTTGGTTCAGTTATATCTTGTGCTTCAATTTCACCCTAAATAAATTCAATATAAATTCATACAATAACAAAAAACAAATTCCTTTCTATCTACCGCAAATGCTGGCATTTTAGGTGATTCCGATGATTGTTGAAGAATATCTAAATCTCCTTTTACTACATAACCAAATATATTTCCATCGGCGCCACCAGATAATGCAAAACGATTATCAAATGATGTAACTAGATTAGTTACCGTTCCATATTCACTATCATGAGCTCCTTCCGTCCAAAAATCATTCAGTGATTCAAATACTTCTGTACCACAGTATGGATAAATACGTATGAAACCATTTTTTAAACCAACAAAAATGCAATTTAACTTTTCTCTATCAAAAGAAAAATACGCCAAAAGGAATTTTTAAAAACAAAAGGCAATAAACTAAATGACCTAATGAGAATACTTGTTAATGGAATATCATCACCATATGCTAGATCAGTTTCGGGTACAGGTAAAGTACTTAACACAACATCTTGTCGTTCTGAATTATATTGAAAACGATCGTCTTTATTTCCAAATTGACAATGATATAAATATCCAGCATCGTAGTCATCCTAAAATTTTAAAATATAATAAAAAATGAAAAAATCAACGATGAAACTAACCATAGAAAGCCAAAATGTATCTGGAGATGTGTACACTGCAAATAAGGCAGCACTAGGTTTTTCAGGTATATATGGTTTCCAATCGTCTTCTTTCTTTTCTTCTTCTTCCTCTTGTTCAGCTGGTTTTTCGCCTTCTGCAAAGAAACAAAAATACTTCTTTCTTTTTATACATTCGAATTTAAAAAAAAAGATATACATATATATACATGTATGCGGTCAAAATTTTAAATTGTGGAATTTATTTTTATCAATGTTTTACCATATTGCGAGTTCATGTCGATCCACATAGCCTCAGCTTCAATCCAAAGTGCGAACTACAACGATGTGCCTACTAGGAAAGATATTGCTATCCGACACTTAGTTGCTAACAATGCTCTTATTTAGATACTAGTCAAATAGCTTTCAATGGGGAGTATGGTCATCATCACATCACATATTGAGTATATCGGTAATCTTGAACGTTCATAATTTGAGTACATCAGCAACTCTATTTACCTTTGTCTTTCTTTTCAATACCACGTAGTCGTCTTTCTTCCTCTAATTTTCTTTGTCGCTCTTCTTCTTCTTTTCGTTTTCGTTCGAGTTCTTCTTCATGCTTAAAACAAAAACATGCTCATTATTTACAAACATCAATGAATTTACATTTTAAAATATTCTTACTCGTAATCGAGACTTTATACTTCGAAAACGAAATATTCTCACAGGTAATTGTGTTTCAATCAAATACGATGTTGATGTATCGAATGTAATACCTTTTGGTCCTTCATATTCATATACAATACCATTTTTCAAACAAACAAGAAGACGAGTTTTATTCTAAGCATTAAAATAAAAAATAATTCTATGATTTTCTCTTTATTCAAACTCACATATTGCGCTGGTGTCCATGTCATAAACGTGATTTCTTCTTTTGCATTGACAAAACCAATTGGAATTAAACCTTTGGGTGTATAATTAAAGAAAAACACTGTTCCATCCGCACTCTAATGACAAATAAATTTTCAATTTGATAAAAAAAAATAATAATAACGAACTCCTGTAGCTATCCATTGATTTTGAACTTCTACAGTAATAAATGTAACTGGTTTTGTATGTGGTTTAAGAGCTTGTATCATTCGGAAATCGAATTCATATTTCTTTTCTGTTCCGGTTGGTTTAATACCCGAACGAAGTTTTAAATATCGTAAAACACCGTCAGAAAATCCAACTAATATTCCATCGGATTTTTCATCAAACTATAAAATAGAAAATAGCATCACAAATAATCGTATAATTTATAGCCTACAGCAGTTGGTAACCATTTTAAACTTGTAACTTGTGTACCAAATGTCTTTTGAGCCAATACATCTTGTGTAGGAATATTATAAACTCGAATAGCTTTAGAAGAAAAAAAACACTATTGAAGATATAAATGAAACAATATTGGTTCATACAATTTCCAGCCGAACAAGCAAATATGTGATAAACCGATGAAACATCTAGGCCAGTTATAACTCCTGATGTAAACGAAAGAAGTAATTCAGGATCAGCACTATTTTTTGAAAATGTTAAATCTATTTTCCATATATTTCCTTTTGCATCCTATTATTTATAAATCAACAATAAAAAACAGTAGGATAAGAGTTTCTATTTACTTGAGCAAACCAAAGACTCATGTCATCAGAAATACCTCGTTTGATACCCATCAATCGACTGTCTGGTCCTACTTTAAGTTCATTCAATGGTTCTATTTCCATTTTTGATCCTTCATCAATTGCTTCAGCTGTATCGATAGTTTCAAAATCCCAAACACGTACATAACCATCTTCACCAACAGTAAATACATCACTTTCATTTAAGAGTACTTGCTGTATTGGACCATGATGACAAGGTTTGCCTTTTTTACGACAAACTTCTATTTGAATTAATCCACCATCCCATAGTAACATGTTGCCCCATTCGGTACCGGAAATAACCTGAAATTTAAATGAGTGAAATTGATAATGCCAAGAAATTCTCTGCATACTTTTCCATCGGGTAATTCACGATAACCTTCAATATCAGAAATTTCGGTTCGACCAAATCGACCTAATTCACCTTGTAATTTCAAACCAGTGAATGTTCGAGCCATTTTCCAAAATCTATTCGAATTTTTCTTAAATTTGAAAGAAGTGATTGTGATCGTTATTCTTACTTGATATGACCAATACCAGATGTAGTTAAATGTCCTTTGAGATCTTTTGAGAATGATACTTTAAAAACTTCTTGTGATGATGCTTTGCTGCGTAATAGAATTTTTTCATCACGCCAATCCCATATTGTTAACATATAATCTGGACTCGAACCAAGTGAAGCGAGTAAATCACCATCATTACTAAAAATAATACAATGTGTCTTTTATTTTTTTTTCGCATATTATTTAATTTACTTAAAATCAAGATAAGCATAAGAACGTTCTGTACCAGCTTTTAATATTCGATAAGGTTTCAATGATGGATATTCATATATAACTATGTTTGGTATGTGACCTTTTTCACCAATAGCAAAATAGTGTCGACTTGGATGAACCTGTTGTTTTTCGAAATAGAAAAATGATATATAACGAATTCGGTTTTGACTCTTTTTTTCTTACGATTAATGCTCCTATACTGTATCCACCAGTTGTTCGAATATATTTATGTTGTCCACTGGGTAGATCAATAAGTTCAACAACACTGCCAGCAACAAACATGATTGTTTTATTATCCAATATATGTAAATTTCCACGTTTATTACAATCATAAGCAAATGATCGACTAGTAAAAGAAGAAAAGGAACTCGAGTGAAATATTCTATACGTAGTTCTATGATGATTGTTTTGTGTAGAAATTTCCTCAGGTCGATGTTTTATTATTTTTTAATAAAGAATATCTCTCATTGATTGAATCAAATAGTGTAAATATTTTCATTAAAACTTACAACATCGATAATGTATTTTCAGGAAATATCTTGCCATTAGTACTAATTGGTTTCGCAGTAATTCTTTCTGGATCATAATAGAAAGTATCAGGAAGTCTTGGTGGACCATTAGGGTCCAATTTTAGAATAACATCATCGTCATCATTATCAGTAACTTCTGTAGTCTCTTCTTGTTGAGTATCCTGTTTTTCATTTTCTGTTGTTTGGTTTTCGCCTTCGCCTTCTCCTTCTTCTTCTTGTTCTTGTTCTTGTTCTTGATCTGGTTTCTGACTTTCCTGAGCTGATTCCGTTAGTGTTAGTGCAGTAGTTGAATCAAATGTAACTAATCAAAGGAAATAAAATTGCATTTAGAAACAAAACAAAAACGAAAGAAGAGCTATTTACAAGTGTCAGTTTCAGAGTTTAAAACTTCTTGAGTTTGTGAATCGGGGCGAACTATAAAAATAATATTTTGCAGTAATAAAAAAAACATTTACTACCACTTATTTATTTACTTTGATTATCAACTGGACCTTCATCCATTGCTGATAAAGGTTGTTGAGCTACAAAATCATAGAAAAATAATTTAGAACTAAAACAATATGATATGTATTAGTACTTGTTTCAGATTCATCCGCTGGTGTTTCTCTCGGTGATCCTTCTCTCGACATAGTTTAATCTAAAAAACTATTGAAATGTTCTAAACCATTTTTGTAGTAAGTTAAAATATGTTGCTTAGCATTACATTTCTAAGCGACGATCAATAAACAGATGTCGTTGGTAAACTCACAAGCATAATTTTCATTGGCTGTTCCGATATTGGGAAAGCAGAACGATCGATCGGTTGATACTAAAATAAACAAATATCTGACCTCATTACAAAACACGTCTTACATATTTTTTTTCTGCCTGATTATTGAAAATGTCAAGTACGGTTGATGTAACACCGAATATTTCGGACGCCTTATTGAATGATATATCACAAAAACAACAGCAGCCATTAACTGTTCGAGAAAAAATTGTAAATTTATTTCAAGAATTAGAAATAACACGAGATGAACAAAGACGAATCAATACGGAACTAGAAAAAGAAGTTCAATCTCGTATTGAAGCAGAAGCTGAAGCAGCTCATCTACGTCGACAAGTACAATTAGTCGAAGTTAATCTTGATAATGCAACGGCTCGTGTTAATAATGTAACAACACAGTTAATTGAAGTTTTAAAAGTTTCTGAAGCAGCACGACAGTATGATTTTATTGCTTTATTATTTATTTTGTTGAAATTTAAAATAATTAATTTTAGTGTTTGTACAAATCTTGAAAATAAATTAACAACTGTCAAAGATAAAGAAATCGATCTTGATGATGAATTAAGAAAAGCAAAAGAATGTAGTATTGAAACTGATAAACGTTTTCAAGAGGTAAAATTTTTAGATTTTTCTTTTAATTTCATTAACAAAAAATTCTATTTTATAGACAACAAATAAACTAAATGAACTACAAGAACGATATGAGCTTGCTGAACGTCGATCGGCAATGGGTGATCAGTAAGTTTAAATGAATAATCGATCGTAAAATATTTGAAATCGCAAATTATAGACGAATTGTATCACTGGAAAAAGATATTCGACATGCATATGTACAAATGAAATCATTACTTCAAGCAGAAGAAAAAGTCAGGATTACTTTATGTTTATATTGATGTACATTTTAAGTTTTAGGCGCAGGCAACAGAAGAAAAATATCGGAAAAATATTGATGATTTACAATCACGGCTTAAATCAGTATGAACTTTTAAATTCAAAAAATATTGTATTGTTGCTTTTTTTTACTCTAGGCTCAACAACGAACCGACGAAGCTGAAGGCGATGTTGGAAAATTACAAATAAAAGTTGATAAAGTTAAAGGTATTTTCTCGTTAAAGTATAAACAAAAAAAAGTTTATCGGTATTTTAATTTATAGAAAAATTGGCTGACGAACGAAATAAATGTCATCAATTACAAAAAATGATGGCTGAATCATCGGCACCATAGACAAGCCAAATTTGTATTTGTTTTTTTTCTTCCGTTTTTTTTGCTGTGCAATATAATTCAACTCATTATTTTCTACTCTTATTGTTAGTCTTAAAATGCGGACAAACGTTGTTCTGTTTTCCTTACACCTTTCTTCGTTTTTGCTTTGTGTGCTGTGGACATGTCGTGCAATTCACTCTCTTTTGTTTTTGTTGTTATCATTATCGCTATTATCATTATAACTACTACTACTACTACTACTACTACTACTACTAGTGCTGCTTTTGTCTTCATTCGACTTACACACAGAGCATCACACTCGTTTTCTTTTTGTGTTTCTTATAACCATTCAGTGTGTGTGATTGTGTTCATAGCTCTATTACAGAAACAGATAAATAAAGAGAATTATCATTCTTATGGATTCATAACGAATAGCGAATGAATAAAATATTTCTATGTATGTCTTATATCGGAAGTGTCTACTAAAGTTATTACAAGCAAAGAAATATGATTATGATCGATAGAGAAATATCATTATTGGTTATTTTATTAAAAACCCTTGAATATTTTCTTTCTCTTCTTCATGAAAACAAGATACACAATCGAGATGTTCATCATAGTAAACTAACATCAAGTCTATGATGAATAGTCTTTTTTTTATGATAGGTGCTTTCGATACACTTGATGTTTTACATATTATTCGCTAGATAGAAATTCAACGCTAAGTCGTCCCATCCTTGAAATATTCAAAATATGTCGACTTATAGTTTTCTATGATTTGTAAATTTTCTTGAATATTCTGAAATCATAGAAAGTTCTTGAAGGCCACTGTGTTCTCGTGAGTATGTTTACATCCTTTTTCACGAATACTCAAGCTTATATTTCTATGCAAATATCTTGATTAACTCTAACAGGAAATACATAACTAGAAAACAAACACATTTAGTATTCTCGAATAATTGACACATGTAATTATTCTTAAAGAAGAACTGTTGTAATATATGATCAGGCATGTAACTTATAAATGATATTGACGTTAACGTTTTTTTTTCCCAAGCAATTGATGCTGTAATCAAATCAACTTGTCAAAGTTCTCTTAAATAATAAAGAAATACATCAATATTCAAATTATTTGACATTGAAAAAAAAAAGCCAATTGATTATGAAATATAAATTCAATGAATCGTAGATAGATCTGATGTGTCTAACAGTTGTTCCTATCAATTCGTTAATGACATCTCGGTCAGAATTGAACATCATTCATTAGTAAACATTTCGGAGCTAGAAGATAAACCGAATGATAGCAAACTTTTATTCGACAACAAGGTTCCAATAAATAAAATGAAATAAAAACATTCTAAAGCTTCGTCTTTATTTTCGTCATTCGACTATTATAGAACATCAAAAAAGAGAGGGAAAACACTTTTTGTTGATTGCTTTTTCGTATTTTGATTTGTTTTATTGTCAACAGGTTTAGTTGATGGATTATTTTGCTGGCTTTGATTTCTTGGAGCCGGAGCTGATGCCGGCGCATTTGCAGAACGATGCACTGACATGGTTGTTGGTGTACGAGATAATGCAACGTTTGAGCGAATATTCAATGCTGAGGAATTTATGGTATTATTATTTCTAGCAGAACGTAGAAGAAGATATTGATTTTGTTGATAAATGATAGGAGATGTTGGACGTGGTAAAGCTAAATGTAAATGACGAATAGAAGTATTTACTAGATGATTAACACCATCACCAAAATTTTGAGCATTGGGATATTTTCGTTGTGATAAGAGAAAAAATGCTTCAATAAATGCAGCAAATGGTAATCCTAGAACAAATAAATATATATATATATTCGATATCAATCATAGAAAAGTATCATGTTAAGCGAAGAATTCTACTAAATATTTTATCAAGAAGAGATGCAGGAAATATCATTTTATTTTTCTACCTGTTAAAGTTGTTCGTAAAACAAATTGCTGCCATTTTTTAAGTATTTGATAGTAAAGTATATCGATTGTCGGTGCTGTTATTGATTCATTCATAATACCACATACACTAAAATAAAAATCTAGACGTCGATTTGAAAATATTTTTAATTTACTTAGCAAAATGACGAAATTGTCCACCAGTCATTGTTTTAAATCCTAATGTAACAACGAGTTGAATGTAAATATAAGCTATATTATCAACTAACAATAAATGTCGATATTTTGTGCTATGTTCTACTGGGAAAATCATTTTTAATGTATTGATTGATTTCAGCATAGTTGCATCTGTTGTTCGCGGACGATGTGATGCAGATCTCGTTGAAGATTGTTTTATATTTGTTAATACAACAGTTTGACTTACTGCTGTTGTCGTCACGGGTGAACCATTTTCATCATCATCATCAATAGAATAATTTAATTGTTTTGTTCGTCTCATGATTTTTCTTGCCGACCCTATTGGCTGACTATGATTATTATTATTATTATTATTATTATTGGAAAATGTATATGGCGTAAAATCTTCATGTGATAGAGATCCAATAATAGAATGTGTTGGATAAGCATGATTAAATCTTTTTTGTTCATGTTGCTGTTGTTCTTGTTGTTGGCGAACAAATTCTTTCGCTATGCTTTCCAATGGTCGCGAAAAAAATGGATTTAATTTCATATCAAAACGAGTTTTTCGTGCACTTTTCAATTTTTCACTTCGTTCTTCGAGACGTCGTTGAGCAACTTTTTCAACGCGTTGAGCCATGATTTCCTCGTTGGCTTGAATTTTAGCATGACGTGTACTTAATTATATTATATTTAGTTAATTAATCTTGAAGGAAATAAAAAAAGAGATTATCAATATTCTTACATTGTATCTAACTTCTTCTTCGGTAAAGCCAATTTGAGAGTTTCGAAAACTAACGGTCGTTTAATTTCTTCATCGATTGGACTTGACTGGTAAATTATTTTTCCTATGCATCGACAAGATTAAACATCTATTACAATCAGATTTTATAGTCCCATTCAATACAAAAATACTCGATCCGAAAACTCCATGATCCTAAAGCTAAAGGCATAAGATTTTCTTAATTTTACCTGCTTCATTTTTATCGAAATCAATTCGAAGTGAAGGATTTGAATTGACTTCAAGTAAAATTGGTTTTAGATGATGATTTAGTATTATATCAAAACCAATTATCTAAATCGAAAAAAAAAAGAATATATTTTGGATCTATCAAATTTGATTTTTATGTTACCTGAAAACAAGATAGATTTTGTCTTTTTGGCAATGGCAAGTCATACTCATATGCGACACGAAGTTCAGGTAAAATAGCTAATATTGTTTTATTAATCATTTCTACAATTAAATTTTTTGTTCTTTCGACTTTCTCATTACTAAACATTTCACTTAATTGTTTCCAAACAATACTTAATTTACGTTTACTACCGTCGGTTTGTTTATCATCAACCGGATGTTTATAACCAGCGCTACGTTTATTTAAAGAATAATTTGTTAAATGCATATATGTTTCATGAAGATTATCCGTTGTTGGAGCTTTATAATCCACCGTAGCAAAACGAGCAAGTCCTTCATCATAGAGATAAACTTCTAACGGATATAAATTAAGGATAAGAACATAGATACGTAGATCAAATTTAAGACCATTCATTAATAATGGTTGATCGATGTATTCTGAGACAAAGAAAAAACAAATTGAAAGATTAAAATTCTTTGTTTTATGAAATAATAAACCTTGAATAACATGCGGACGATTTGTATTGACAATATGAGATGGGTCTCGAAGTAAATAAATACCTTCACCTTGTGAACCATCTAAATAAGAAATGAATAAATAATTATAGATAAAGAAAATTTTCATTATTAAATTAACCTGACGGTTTAACAATAAATGTAGTTGGTGAACGATTATGTTTTTTATCTAATTGATGTAAATAACGAACGTCATCTTTAAATTGTTGACTTTGTTCCGGAAGAAACCATGTTTTAGGATAAAAATCATATTCATTTGGAAACAACAATCTCATATTGTTTAATGAACGAGTCAAGTGAACTTTACGTAATAGATCACTCATGCCTATACTTCGTAAAAAATATTTCAATTAATAATCGCATAAGAAAATGATAGATAACATACAAGGAAATTTATTAACACGACCTGACGTAAATGGAAAAGTTGTATGGCCTTCATGAAATGAAGCTGAGTGCCAATAAATATCAGAATCAACCGTACTACCGTGTACACACTAGAAGTACAAGAAAAGCGTCAAGACTGAAAAACTTCATTTAACAAATTTTCAAATGCTGATGATTTTTCAGTGATCATTTATTCGCGTAGAAATTTGTTTTTTTTAAATATTTACTTCTTTCCATCCGAGTTCTCGTAAACATAAACGAACAACTGGAAGATTGGAACGAGCTTTACTTGTATCTACTGTTATTAAACTTTTAGCTGTATTATTTTCTTCAGTTTTTGCAACCGATGCCGATGCTCTCATTGGATTTGTTGTCGCCGTCGTCGTTGTATCACCATTAAGAGTTGATTGATTTGTTGGCGATGATAATGGCATGGATGCTTGACTTGGCATAGCACTGGCGTGTTTTGCTCGTCGTGGACTTGCTTTTGATCGTTTGCGCGGAGGAGATTTGATTTTTCTCTTTGCTTTTGTTGCTACTAGCATAATTTGACTTCCTTGCTCAATAAAAACTTTACCAGTCTCCGATTGTTCGTGACCATTATCTTCGCTAATATTGTTATGATTATTCGTATTGTCATCATCTTCTTCTTCATCATCAGATGATAGAACAGAAATATTTGCGCATTTCAATGCTTCATCAATTTCATCTTCATAGATTTTTTCAATAAAATTTTGATATTCAACATCGACTTCTGTTGCAGTCATATCAGGAATTGAAATACTAGGATTAAGTGACATATCTTGATTTAAATTAGTGTCAGCCATGGGATTTATTTGAAAGTCATGCAATGAGTTCGTTTGAAAGCTCCCTGTATTAATAACTGATGCATGGCGTGCCACCCATTTCACACGAGAACGACGTATAGTAGTTGATTGATGTCGATTAAGATGATTTACTGTTTCAGGTGTTATGTCAACTTGTGTTTTCGGTGCGAAGTTGTTCAATTGACTATTTGAATTAACTTTATTTACATATTCTTCATTTGGTTCCGTATGCAGCGGTTTGTTTAGCAGTGTTTGCGATCTTTTAATATGATTATTTTTCGCAGTTACTATTGGATCAGTTAATGAAAGATTTTTTATACTGTCAGATGTTGAATTCATAACAGGCGATGAATTTTTTTTTCAAATCAAAAAAAAAAGAAAACACTTATAAGATATCTTCTGCAGCAAAGTTTACCTTGGCGATATTTAGCACTAATTAGAAGTAAACAAAAAAAAATGTCTTTTGCTAAAAGCTATGCATTTCACTTTAAAGTCTTGATAATTCAAACAAATAATTGTGTAAATAGACGACATATTTTTCTATGCATTACTCACGGTTTGTATTCTTTGAAGAGATGAAGAAGTAGTGAAAAGTAACGTGCTTTTAATATTTTTGCTCTGTGAGTTGATGAAAGACGAATTTTTCTTCATAATAGTGAAAACAATCGGAACAGAAGCACCTTAGCAACATCTGTTCAGTAAAATTGACTTGATGACAACAAGAGAAAATTCGATAACATAGCAAAAAACAAAACACTGATTCGATTAAACTTTGTCTTTTGTAACTTTTCATCTCAATCAATAATTTACTTTTGTTTCAGAATCTAATTGAAGTTTCTCTTTGAAGAAAAAAAGACTAAATGTACTGAATATGTTTTATGATTTAAAGCGCCTTTCAATTATAATCCAATCTGCTACCAGATGAAGATTATCACAAGTTCTCTGCTTCGAATATGCATTAATGTATTTTGTTGCATTCTGTCATCAATTTATTTTCCATTCTCAATTCTAATATTTAGAAAAATCATTCATGTTCTCGTACTAACTGCTTTGAAATTCGTGGCAACCTTAGTTTTTTCTGTAGCAACTGGTTGCGCTTGAATGGAGACTTATTTAATGCTCAACGATTTATTTTTGAGCGAGACTAATTATATGAAAAATAGATAGAAGACCAACTTGCATTAGAAAATGAGAATCATGTTTTTATGTATTATCAAAATATGAGATTGAACTATGAAGTGAAAATATTCAGTAAATATGCAATTTTCTAGAATACACTCGTCGCGTTTTTGAGTAGATATCGAATAAATATAATGTCCTTTTATCTGAAGTTATAAAAAAAACATTCTGTTATCTCGACATTTCTTTTCTTTTTAAATATATATGAGTAGGATAGAATGATTCGAATGCAGCTGTATTCGTTTTTTTTAATAATAAAATCTAGCAAGGCTCACCTGATATCATACATTTGCATAGGATTCACACGGCCGATATAGTACTTTAAATGTACTCATCATTTCGACTGGAAAGTACACAGTTAAATCCTTCTTTAAAAAGAAATATAACACCTGATATTTACTCCCATTTCCTTGAGAATCCGCCTTTAAAAGGCTCTCGCGTATGCCACCAACTACTGTCATTTATTTTCTAATCCTTTTTTCGTTTATTGCGCGAGACTAGCCTCTCAGTTTTTCTTCTTAAAAGTGGACTCCTCTTCTCGTCGACTACTCGTGATTGGCTATGGTAGTGTATCTCAATGTACATTGCCGCTTTTAATCGATTGTTTCCTATTAAAAAAACAAATTCATTCTCTAACAATAATCGATGTCATCGATCAACGGGCACGAATTGAACCATATCATAAAATATATAATCAAATAAACTATCAACAAGAAGAAATTACAGTGAAAAACTATGGAGAAATTCTTGGCAAGTATCTATCCGATGGTGATATTCTTCTTGATCTTGCAGTGAATCTTGAAACAAGATGTCTATTAAAATGGTGTCATGATCATAAGGTGTGCTTCGTTAATACATCTGTTGAATTATGGGATCCATTTGGTGAAGCATACAAAAATGATCCACGTCTATTAACATTATATCATCGACAGATGCAATTAATTCAAATGCAAAATGAGCCAACATGGAATAAAAATGGCGCTACAGCAGTACTGGATCATGGTTGTAATCCAGGACTTGTTTCACATTTTGTTAAACGAGCACTTATTGATATGGCACAATGTGTAGTTAATGATAAGAAGATTTTAATTTCGCCTGGTGAAAAGACTGATTTACAAAAGGCATTGAAAACAAAAAACTACCCTCGATTAGCTTATCTATTAGATATCAAAGCAATACATATATCTGAACGTGACACACAATTAACCAATGATCCAAAAAAAGTGAATGAATTCGTTAATACATGGTCAATTGATGGTCTTGCTGAAGAAGCAGTTGCACCAGCTGAAATGGGATGGGGAACACATGAAAAAATTGTACCTGAAGGAGCCTTTTTTCATGATGAGAAAGAAGGTCCATGCAATCAAATTTGTTTGGCTACAAAAGGAATGAATACTTGGGTAAACTATCTTAACTGTCTTTTGGTTATTTCAATGACGATAATTGTTTTTTTCCTATAAAGGTTCGTTCATGGGTTCCAAGTGGTGAAATTATCGGTATGGTGATAAGACACGGAGAAGCATATGGCATTTCAAAATATCTCACAGTTCATAGTAATGATGAAAATAATAACGCAGCTTTATACAGACCAACTGTTCATTATGCATATTTACCATCGGATTCAACAATAAATTCTTTAGTTGAATTTCGTATGCATAATTATCAATTGCAACCAAAACTTCGTATACTAAATAATGAAATCACTCAAGGTGCTGATGAAGTTGGTGTTCTTTTACTTGGCGGTCGTTATGTAGATGCTTGGTGGACAGGTAGTGTACTTGATATTCATGAAGCACGAAAATTAGCGCCAGGACAAAGTGCAACAACATTACAAGTTGCTATCAGTGTTGTTTCAGCTCTAAATTATTGTATTAAACATCCGAATCAAGGAATATGTTTACCAGATGATCTCGATGTTGATGAAGTTCTTGATATCTCTACTCCATATTTGGGACAATGGGTTTCGAAAGCAGCTGATTGGCCACCAAAAAACGATAAAATTCGAGACGATTGGCAATTTACGTCTTTTCAAGTTGTGGATTAACAAAAGGCTCTTTTTGTTTATTTTTAAATTTTCCTTTTTCAGAAATGTAAAAAAATTTGATTGGTGAAGGATATTTTTAACGAACGCGAATAATAAATAATATACATATATATATGTCGATAAATAAAACGTATTTCTTTTTACTAAAGATTCGAATTTATCGTAAGAGTACTATTGAAAAGAAAAGTATAAATCACGTTTATGGAATTACTTCAGCAGTCAGGTTAATTAAACAATATTTCTTATTTTGCGTTCATATAAATATTTACTTGCACACAAAAAGTAGACTACATAGGAATTACAGTGAAAATATACTGAAGTACAATGAGTTTCGCAAAAGTAGATATTATAGAAGAAAGTAAGAATCGTTATTTTTACGCATATAAGAACTTTTATAGAACTTATGAAAGTGCATTTAAGATCAAGTCATCTGAATCTATATATAATTGGCCGAAATCATGAACTTCGATTATTATGATAACTAAAGCCCTATAGATTCAAATACTTTTTTCTTACTTTGATATGAAATACTATGACACATACCGTAGCAAGCTGAGAATATTAAGCTGTATTTTTCCAGTGTCATGTTTGAACGTAGTTTTTTCATATTGATATTTGTTCAATGTAATTTTTTCAGCCATTGAGAGATGGATTCGTTTTCAATTTATTTGACAACTTCAAGTGTAACCTAGTGTCGACCTTGGACATACCGTGAGGTGATGTGGGCGTAATCTCAAACCCATTCCTCCGGTCAGATTACTATGTAATGTGAATGCACAGCAGGTTAATTAAATCTACCAGATTATGGAAATGTTTGCAGTCATCAACAGAATGTTCTTGCCGATTAATTGTTATTCGATTTTATTATTGAATTTGAACTCTAACCGAACTTAGTGCTTAGAAAAGAATCTTCCCATGAATCGAAGACTTTCTTTATACAGATTTTTTTGCGATAAAAGTAAGAATTTCAATGGACTGAAACAAGTCTGACTTGTACGATGTTTTGTTAGTGAACTCGAAATCTCTCAATATCTTCAGAAAAAATATTGACCTTCAGAAGATTTTTGTTCTCAATAATTTTTCTCACTTACTTGAATGAGAGAATCTCCTTCTTTAACTATGACATCTTTCTGTTTAATGTTAAAGTGATCTTTTTGAGATTATGAATTTTTCTCGTATGTTGAACTTTCCACGTTCTAACTCATTTTTATAACATGTAAACTTTCGAAATATTGTACGTTGATATTGACAAAAGGTATTATTTATACTTTTGAAACATATGAAAAACGTTTGTTTAAGCAATATGGGAAAAAAAGAATATGATTCAGAAAGACAAAATAGTCTGTTTTTAAGTCAACCAATAGGGTATTTGCGAATAGATGTTATTAATATAGTGATCATTGTTATGAGTCTCACATAATGTAAACATCACATCGCGCCATTATTTTATTACCAGAAATATGTATATAGACTTTAAAAAATATTTTGTATACACGAATATGTTCGAAAAGAATTTGCCAATAGAAATTTTGATATGTTCTTCTACTAATCTTTAGATATAAAATATTTTGTTGAAAAACAAAAATTTGAATGCATTTTAGCAGTAGGAACAGACGTTCATTTTTTTTGATCATATCGATTGATAAGACTTTATTTTCAGATATTTTTATTTAATATTTTATTATAGATGAGTCATACTGACAAAAAATATTTTTCTCGAGTTAAATCAAACGTGAAGGTTAAATTTCTAAACGAAAACAAAATTCGTAATCTTCCGCATGTGAATATTTGCGCATGAAGATCAGCTGATTAAAATGCATATTCGACTTAAATCAATGCACATGAAATAATCATCCAATAGGGTATTTCACTTGAGTCTTGTCTCTCATCCATCGGTCATATTGTTCGTTCTTGATTTCTTTTTCTTTTCTAGTTGAGTAGTAAAACTCCAGTTCAATTATTATTTTTTATTGGTATTTTTAGATTACAACACTAAAAATTATTTCAGTCTTTTTTTTCTTCTTTTATTTGACTTACATTTGGACAAGAGAAATTTCATTTATTTATTTGATTCCATTTCATCTGGTTTATCTATCTTATTTTATTTGTCATACTACATTGAACTCTCGATCGATCTCTAGCATGTTCAATGTCTCGAAATAATTATACTAATAGTTTACTCTTGCGAATGTTTAACATCGTCTTGAATGGCCCAACCACAAAACAATTCAAGTTCTTCGACTAGACGATCATTAAGATTATTGACGTATGTTGAAAATTTCGAAAGTTTCTATTTAAATTTCATATTATTTTTCTATTTTAAAAAGTGCTGAACGGAAATCAACAATAAACAAAGCAAATATCGAAGGTATATTATTTTTCGCTTTGATTCTTATCAGAAGAAAAAACATTTATTTTCTGCTACAATTTTAGAAGAAGAAGAAGAACAACAACAACAAACAACGACAAAACGTCAAGCAAAATCTAAAGCACTTGAAGCTATTTCAATAAGTAATAATAAACGTCGCATAGAAACTGAGTCTGATATAAATCAGGATCAAGAAGATACTAGAAAAAGTTCGTCCTCACTATTTCGTAATAGTAGTAGTGGTATCCATGCATCGAGTAGTCTAAGAAGTCAGAAGCACAGTGACAAATTATCAACTACGAAATCGTTAAAACGTCAACGCGACTCATCGTCATCTGCCGACGACGAAGAAGAAGAAGAAGAAGAAGATAACCATTTATTAATACAATCAAGGCCAAAAAGAGATTCTGCGCCGATTGTGCCTGATCATAATCCTAGAAAACAAAGTGAAAGTACAGATACGGGGAACCTTTGTGTTAGACGAAGAACAGGTAAGAATGAAAAAAAAAGAATGGAATCAACTTTTTGTTTTATTTATTTTTTATATAAAATAGGCGGACGAGAACAAAATACAGTTGTAAGTGATCCTTCAACTAGTAATAATCGACGAGCACGTCGTTATACAAGAAAATCCTATATTGACTATTTGACAACGGGTCAATCCTCCTCTAGGTAAAAGAATGATGATATTTTTTTCGCTTTCTCTGATTCTTATTATAATGCAAACTACTGTTTTGTTACTACGGTGTACAGATGTACGACTAAAGACGTCTTATCATACTCGTGTAATTGCACTCATACATATAAGGAAAGAAAAATAGAAAAGAAGAAAAAAAACCATTATTCTCGTTCTGGCTTCATATAGAATAGAAGAGAAAAAAAACACGACACAAAAATCAACATAAAAGTTTGTTGGCGACAACTATTGATCAATAACTACATTTAGGGTAAAATTACCTCTAAGGGTTCGGTAACAGTCCAGTAAAAACTTGATAAAAACAAATTCATGTTCGTAAATTTTTACGAACGCTAACAATTGACATTACTTTGTTTCTCGTGTTGTTATTATTATACCACACATATCTATTTCTCTTCTTTTATTTTTTTGTGTATGTGCGTACGTAAATAAGTATCTCACCATGTGATGATCTTGTTGACCTTTTATATTTTTAAGACCAAACATAAGTAAATTTATCGTGTTTCTATGTCCTTTGTCCTTTTTTAGTCGTTCATCGGCGCCTGTGTCTAATATCACCGGTACAGCAAGCCGACCTTGCCATTCAAATAATACCGGTATTGCATCTACAGGCAATCCACTACATTTATTTAATTCACCTGCTTATTATCATCCAAATTCCTCATCTCCTCCGCCGTCATCATCATCAGCTCAATCTTATTCTGGTATTGTTCCAACAACATCATCAACATCTCCCTTCGTTGCTAGCGCCATTCCTCATAGAAATACAAAGCAAGCGTTACAAATGTCAACTGAAAGTGATACCGATCCTGATACGAGTCCATCGGCACGTGATATTTTAAATGATTCAAGTTTTGGTCGTAGTGGCTCAGCAAGTGCAGCTCTATTTCATACTCTATCGGGTCGTGTTCAACATCTAATGAGTAGAGTTGGAGGTGGAAGTTCAATAAATGGACGTTTACAACAATATATACAAAATTTACAAGTAATTAAACTAATTCCATAGCTACAGAAATGAATAAAAATTTTCTTTCTTTCTTTAAGTCACCTGATCCCGATGTAAAATTAACAACACTCAATGAATTATGTTCTGTAAGTTAAATATAACGAGAGAATATTTTGTAATTAATTGTTTTCTTTTTAAGTTTCTTGTTATGAGTAATGAAGATACATTACCGGGATTTCAATTTCGTGCCCTTTATCCACCACTACGTGATTGTTTAGCAGATGAAAATGAAGCAAATGCTGAAATTGCTTTAACAGCATGCCGAGCATTAACCTATCTTATGGAAGCTTTACCACGTTCAGCTATTCAAGTTGTTGAAGCTACACCTATACTTTTAAATAAAGTAAAATTTTTCTTCTTATCTATATTCTGTTTATTATTATTATTATTATTATTATGCATATGTTTATTTAGTTACGAAGTATAACATCGATTGATATAGCTGAACAAGCATTGACAGCGTTAGATATGATATCAAAAAGAAATGCAAAACAAATTCTTGTTTGCGTAAGTAGTTTCGAATATAAAATTCATAATACAATAATATTTTCGTGCATTTAAATAGGATGGCATTGATGCCTGTCTTGAATATATTGATTTTTTTTCGATAACCTCTCAACACAAAGCTTTATCTATAGTTGCAAATTGCTGTATACATATCGTAACACCGAATGATTTTAAATATATTCGTCAACAGTTAGAAAATCTATCGAATCGTTTACGTTCAGATGATAAGAAAACTATTGAGCATATCTGCTCAATATTTACGCATTTAGTAGAAAATTTTTATAGCGATTCCGCAATCTTATGCGAATTAGCAGCACAAGAATTATTGAAAACAATGCAAACGATGATTATTGTACAACCATCCATATTAAATAGCGTGACATTTGTTAGTATTATTCATATGCTTTATATTTTTTCGGCCTGTTGTCCAATCCTTGCAGTTACATTACTTAAAGCGAATATAGCTGAAACATTAATATGTCTTCTAACGGGTTCAGTTGATGGTAAAATAGTAACGAAAAAATCTATAACTTATAAATCTGCTGCTCTATCGATTAATGAAACAGCTAAATTACAACCAATAAATAATAATATTGATATTGTTGCACGCACACCACAAGAACTATATGAAATTGTTTCATTGATCGGAGAAATGCTACCGAAATTGCCAAGTGACGAACCATTATTTCAAGTTGATCAGTTATTTCGAGCTGGACGAGCATACGAGAGAGGCCTAAATGGAAGCGTGCTATGGCATTGGCAAGATGATGAAGGTCTGTTGTATTATTCTTTTTTTTTGTTCTTATCGTACATCTCGGAATTCTCCAAGGAGCTTCAGTGCAAGCTATTACTTTTACCCGCTCTGTTTAAAAGAACATTTAGAGTTGGAGCGCCTGAGGATGTTTGCTTTTTGAACTAATTTTTTTTGTATCATTAGACAAGAAAAAAAGCTCACTTCTAAAAATATTTTCAAGGTCTACGCACTTATTATCCTTTTCCTGTTTATAAAATTATTTAAAATTTCAAAGAAGAAATTCATCGCAGCTTGATACACTTTAAAATTAAATAAAAAGAGTAATTATTTCAAAGAGAATTTGATTGATGTACATGCGATATTTGTTTTACTCAAGAAAATAATCATGTATGAATGACAATGATGTCGTTAGAGAAAGCTCGGCTTTTTTAGTATCTTCAAATTTTATATAGAATTTCCTTTAGACTATATTGAATGATAGAATAAGCAGTAGTCCAGAAAACGTAACCTCCCTATGACGTCATCTAGTTGAAATGAAACAATCTTACGGAAACCAGTAAAGTCGTTTTTTTTATCTCATTTCCTACGGTGAAGAAAACAACTTTCGTTTTTTTCCTTCGATCCAATGATCGTATCTCAGTAAGAGACGTCTAATTTTATAGCTATTTATTAACAATAGTTAGTCTAAAGAAAATTTTATTTATAACCTTTACCTATTGAAATGTTTTTCTAGTTCGATTTGTTTATAAACTAAATCTAATAAAAGCATCTCCATTTTGTAGGTCAATTGCGTCCATATTCATCACAAGATTCTCGAACGATCGAACATGCTTGGCAACAGCATGAAGAAGAAGTTCAATTAGTTATATCCGGTCGAAATTATCTTCTTGATTTACAACAGTTACAACAAGTCAATGAAGAAACGAGTCAAGCACGCTTTATTAAACGTATTACTGCACCTAACACTGCTGAACCCACAACACCACCTGGTTCACTTTCAACTGATGAATTATCAACAACTCCATCTTCACCACCACCACCAACTACTGCAATGAATAACTCAGTTGATGCTCGTACGGAGATCTTGAAAGATAATGTCGAATTATTTAATTCATTTGTTCAATCATTATTTCCTATTCTCTACGAAGTTTATAATACATCTGCTGGACCAGCTATCAAACATCGTTGTTTACAAACTATACTTCGCATGATATATTATTCATCAACAGATTTACTTGAAACAATCTTAAAACAACAATCCATATCGTCAAATATTGCATCGATGCTTGCATCATGTGATTATAGAATAGTTATTAGTGCATTACAAATATCAGAAATTTTAATGAAAAAATTACCGGAAATATTTTCTGTATATTTCTATCGAGAAGGTGTTACGCATCAAATTGAAATTCTTATTGGCTTTGGTTTATCATCGTCATCAACCAATATATCCTTAGCTCATACTCATAATACAACAACAACTCACAGTCAAGTGGATATTGTTCATATGAATCTGCCTCCAGCATTACCAACAAATCCAGAATCTTCAGGTAAAGCGAAAGAAATTATGTTCGTCTTATTCTTTCTTTCATTTAGATGATCAAGTAATTCAAACACATAGTAATGATCCACCAGTAACAACACCTTGTGATTCTACAACACAAAAATTTCCCTATCGTACAACAGCAACATCATCTCGTCGTTTTCAAACAGATTCAAATCCAACTAAAGTTGAAACACGTTCACAACGTTCACGTATTCCTGCTACATCATCGAGTTCTCGTATGAAATCAACAATACAATCAATGTTCGAAGAAATGACATCGTCAAATCCATCAGAAACATCAGCAATACCTATTGGCCGTGGTCGTTCGACACGTGGTGCTACCAATTCAGGATTATTTCGACCAACAACTTTTGATCCTGCAACTCATTATGGATTATCATTAGGAAATCGACCTCGTCTAACAAACCCCACGTATGTACCATCGCCCTATTTACAACAACAAACAGCATATACCTATGCAACCAGCGCACCAGCAGCAGCTTCATTACTCATGTCAACTAGTCTATCACCTCGACATCAACATCAACATCAACATCAATCGCAATTACCATTATCAACACAGGAAAAAACCAGCTTAAAAGAATGGATACATAATCAAGCAAAAACTTTTCGTACGACTTATTTCTCAAATAGTTCTACAACATCAAATATTGCTCTACAAATTATACATCGTTTAGCAACAGCTGTCAATACATTACATGTTGGAAAGGATCATGCAGAAAATACAAAAGCATTACGTGATATAGCAAATATAATTACTAAAGGTGATGTAACACCATTTGAAATGGTTCATAGTGGTTTAATAACAAAATTATTTCAATATTTAACTGATCATATATCATCACCCAATGATCGTTTAGATAGATTAAAATTATTTTTAAATATATTTATCAGTATACCCTATGATAATTCAGATGATTATGAAAAAGATTTAAAACAATTTATTATTGATCTTTATCATACACAATTAAATAATGGAAAATCCAATCAAACTATTTTGAGTACTTTAATTTGTAAACTACATGGATGTATTAATCAACTTGAACAGTTTCCGATTAGAGGTAAGCTAGATCTTGGAAGAGGATTTTTTTTATCTAGCTTGCGTTACGGAACAATATAGACGGGAACTATTTTTTTTACGCTGATCAATTTTTATTCTTTTTACTAGTGAACGATGTTACTGGTCGACCTGATCATAGTTCAGCTCTTCGATTGATATCGACACATCAACTTAAATGTAGTCTTGTTCGACATCCACAATGTAAAACATTAAAACAATGGAATAGTAGTCCGGTGAAAATTGATCCATTTGCACTTGTATCAGCTATTGAAAAATACTTACTTTTACGTGGTGTTACTAGTGGTTCATCAAATGTAAATTAACATTGTTGAAATATTATTTTTGTTTTTATTCTATCGTTTTGTTTTTCAAGGAAGATTCATCTGGCATTGTTGATGACGAAGAAAGTGAAGTCTCGAATGAGTCAGATGCTGAAGAAGTTATTAATGTTCTTACTCATTCGTCAACAATGAGAATTGAATTTTTAATTAATGATCATGTAATTCCGAACAACATGTCTTTATATCAAGCAATTCGAATGTATAGTACATCAACGCAAAGAACAACGTATGTAGATCAGTTCTTGTCATTGAAAAATCAATTTTATCCAGTAGCTATTTTTTGAAATACAAATATTTAAAAAGAATGTTTTTTTTTATAGAAGATAAAACAAATTCGTAAATACAACATATCACCCTTAAGATATTTCTCTGAGAAATAAAGAAGTGTCAAAAAGATAACGTATCATCAGCTGACAGGAAATGTTCCTCTCCGATGAAGTAAATATGGGTTGTTTTTATGTCATAGATTAATCGAGGCAAATGTCACGAGAAAAGAAAATTCGTAAACACAATAATTGCGATTTTTATAACACCGCGAGACAAAAAAAAACCTTGAAAATGATAAATAATTTGATCTTTCATATCACATGATGTTGTTTTAAATAAATTCCGGAAAATCTTTTTAGCGATGGCGAATCTGAAACCGATACAGATGAATCAGCAATTTCATCCACTGGTATATGGACTCGTGTACATACAATTCAGTATCGTCAATTAACAACTACTTCGTCGACAGTACCTGCTGTTAGTACAGCTATTGGTGCTGCTAGTACAACGACATCATCAGATCGTTTACGGCACGTAACTAGTAATCCACAAAGTTCATCATCGAAATCTGCAAAGAAAACAATTAAAACGACGAAACGTTCATCGATGCCACCAACAGTTGATGAATTATGGATTAATGGTCAATGTCCAAAAGTAAAATCTCTATTACTATCAACATTAAATGAATCTATAGCATCAATATTGACAATCAATGATTTATCGTTAAATGCTATATCATTACTTCATATATTAAATTGTTTAAATCTTCATTGGTACGATCTTTATTACAATACAAATACAATGTTTAATTATCATAATTCATCGTTAACATTAACATCAAAAAATGAATATCTATCAACAAAATTAACATCAAAAGTCAATAGACAATTGCAAGATCCAATTGTTATTATGATGGGACGTATACCATCGTGGATAACAGAAATGGGTTATACATGTTCATTTCTATTTCCATTTGAAACACGACAAATGATCTTTTATCCATGTGCATTTGATCGTGAACGTGCAATGCAAAGACTTTTGGATAGTTCAGATATGTTAACACAACATCATAATAATGATCAAAGCGATCGACAATCACTTGTGCCAAGAGTTGAGAGAAAAAAAGTCAAATTATCAAGAGTCAATATTCTTGCTGAAATGGAGAAAATTCTCGATAGTTGGAATTCAAAACATTTCCTAGAAGTTCAATACGAAGATGAAGTAACTATTCGTTTGATTGAAATTTTATGAATTAACATTTGGTTTTCTTCTCTATATTTAGGTTGGTTTTGGTCTTGGTCCTACTTTAGAAGCATTTTCACTATTATCAAAAGAATTACAAAAAAATGGATTAGAACTATGGAGAACCGATAAGATCTTTGAATCACATAAAGGTTAGTCATTGTTCATAGGAAAATCATCGATGAATACTATAGCTGTTAATCATTGACTTCAACACGATAGTTTAATACCTTATACCGAGATAAACAATTGTATTAATGTTTACATTTACTCTCCGGCATATACATTCGGCCATTTCATTTTGTTTATTTTCTGACATCAGTAATTTCTGTTCAGGGACACCATATGTATTGAAGTGAATGTTTATCATTACGTAGTTGAGAGTTGTAAAATGTAGAATAAAGTCTTGAACTTCCCATTAGTATAATGCGACAGTATTTTTTTATAGTTATATGAAAAATAATAATGGCGTGTTGTTGCGTTCGTTTAGATAAGGATATACCTACACCTGAACATGTTGATACTCGTCAAGGTCTTTATCCTGCACCATTTGGTCGTAATGCAAAAGCCAATGTAATTACAAAAGTTCGTCAAAAATTTAAATTTCTTGGAAAATTCATGGCCAAAGCATTGATGGATTCAAGAATGGTAATTATTTCTTTTCTTTGAGAAATTTGAAAGAAAACAAAAACTCAATCTCTTTTAGATTGATATGCCATTTAGTATTATTTTTTTTAAATGGATGTTAGGAGAAGAGGAAAGTTTAAATCTTGAAGATCTTGTACATATTGATACAAATCTATATGAACAATTCAAAAAATTACAAAACATTGTTTCAATACGTGATAAGATAATGGTAGTAAATCAAATAACAAATCAACAAACTACAATAAATAAATTAAATAATAAAAAACGTTTGAAATCGAAAGATGATTCTCAAGTTGAACATTCAATTTATTCAAACATATTCGACGAAAGTGATCCCAGATTGTTACTGGATGGTTGTAAAATAGACGATTTATCACTTGTATTTACATTGCCTGGCCATCCCAATATTGAATTAAAGAAAGGTGGAAAAGATTGTTTAGTTACAATTCATAATCTTGATCAATATATTAATGTAAAATCGAAAAAGAAAAACAAATTTATTCACATTGAAAAACGTTTCTTTTTTTCCGATTATTTTAGTTGGTTGTACATTGGACATTAGTGGAAGGTGTTCGACGTCAATTCGAATCATTTCGCGACGGATTTAATTCAATATTTCCTATTCATCATTTGAAATGCTTTTATCCAGATGAGGTATGTAGAAAAGAAAGGAATCCTATAAGATATGTTTTCTTGATGTGATCAAATCTTTCTTTTTTTCTTCTTCTAAAACTTAGCTTCATCAAGTATTTTGCGGATGCGGTTCAACAGAATTATGGGATCTTAAAGTCTTACTGGAATCAACACGTTGTGATCATGGATATAATTTGAACAGTCGAGCAGTGAAATGGCTTTTTGATATAATGATTAATTTTGATATCGATGAGCAAAGAGCCTTTCTACAATTTGTAACGGGTAGTCCACGATTACCTGTAGGAGGTACGCGACAGACTTTACACTCTAAAATGAAAAATGATAATGATTTGTTGTTCTTTTTTTTCTCGAATAGGCTTTCGAATGCTTCATCCACCATTGACAGTTGTTCGGAAAACAGCGGAAAATAGTAGTGATAATACGAGTCCGGACTCATTTTTGCCTAGTGTTATGACCTGTGTCAACTATCTCAAATTGCCAGATTATTCATCAAAAGAAATTATGAAATTGAAATTGACGACGGCGATACGAGATGGTCAACATGCATTTCTATTATCTTGAACATTTTCTTTTTTTTCTTCTTGTTTGTACAGAAAAACAAGCATATATTATAAAGTTCTTTTTCCTTCTTCTTTCTTTTTTTCGTTTTTCATTGTCTGCCTGTGCGCTTTAATAAACCCGAACGAAAAATAAGCAATCTTTGATTGGCTATAATTTGAACGGACAAACAATTGGAGAAAAGCAAAAATAAGCTGAGTTTTGGGTATAGTTCAAAATATGAGTATATTGACCACTGCATACACACCTCATCCCCACACCCTCTAGTAGATAGAATCCTTTATGATTTATCGAAAAATAAACATTGTTTCAAAAGCAAACAGAATGGAAGAAAGAAAACGTTAGCATACGTTGGGTTCTATTAACTACATGTCTGAAAAAGAATATCCACGCTATCAGTGGCGTAATTTGCTACCACAATATCGATCCAACTGTCTTTGTTCAAATCGCCGACAGTCATCGAATATGCAAGAAAACCATAGCCCAGTGAATAGGACTGTGAATTTCTAAAAGTTCCGTTACCATTTCCAAATAATAGAAATACATTTTGAGAGCCAGAATTGATGACACTGACATCAAGGTAATTATCTTTGTTGAAGTCAGCCACAACTATCGAGGATGGAGTCAAAGAATTGTCAATCGAATATACCATTACAGTAGAAAACGTTCCATTGCCAAATCCGAAAAGTATACCCACATTATTCGTACCAGCATTCGCAATGGCAATGTCTAGCAGACTGTCATTATTGAAGTCACCAACGGCGACTGAGCATGGTTGGGAGCCATTTCCAGTTGTATATGCTGTTTGCGTCATAAAAGTGCCATTATCAGACCCAAGCAATATACCAATATTATCGTTACCGGAGTTGGCAACGATAATATCTGGGCAATAATCCTTGTTTATGTCAGCAATAACCATAGATTGTGGATGGGAACGATTGCCAGTTGAGTATGTTGTCAGGGTTAGAAATGGTTGACTACTATCTCGAAGAAGTACCATAATGCTGCCATCTAAATTGTTGACCACCAGAATATCCAATCGATTGTCATTGTTGAAATCTCCAACGGCAATCGCATCCGGTTGAGAACCACTTCCGGTTGAAAATAAGATTTGATCAGTAAAACGTCCATCCCCATATCCATAGAAGACACCCACATTATTAGCACCATTATTGGCAACAGCAATATCCACTCTATTGTCGTTATTTAAGTCACCGACGATAAGCATTGCCGGAATGGAACCATTTCCCGTTGAATATACGATTTGAGGCGCAAAAGTTCCATTGCCGTATCCAAGAAATATGCCAATATTGTTACCAAGATTGTTGGCGACAGCAATATCGAGAAAACTATCATTGTTAAAGTCGCTTACAGTGATCGATTTAGGAAGAGAATTATAGCCAGTAGAAAATGTCACTTCAGCTGAAAAACTTCCATTACCATGTCCAAGAAATATACCTACATTGCCAGTAAGACTATTGGCAACAGCGATATCAGGCAAACTATCATTGTTAAAGTCGCATACAACGATCGAGTGAGGACTAGATTTTGTTCCAGTTGCCAATGAAATATTATATCTGAAGGTTCCATTGCCATATCCGAAAAGTATGATTATTTTACTATTAGCGGAATCAGCGACAGCAATATCGAGCAGATTATCTTTATTAAAGTCACTTACAGCGATCGAGCGAGGATTGGAACCACCTCTAATTGAAAATATCGTTTGTTCTGTAAACGTTCCATTACCATATCCGAGAAATATGCCTACATTATTAGTACCGGTATTGCCAACAGCGATGTCAAGTCGACTGTCTTGATTAAAGTCATTTACAGCTACGGTGTAAGGACCAGAGCCAGTTCCAGTTGAAAGCTTCCTTTGTGCTGTAAACGATCCATTACCAATACCAAGAAATATGCCAATATTACTAGTACCATAATTGGCGACGGCAGCATCTAGCAAGCTATCATTGTTGAAGTCACCGATGGCCACCGATTGAGGATATGATAGGGTTCCAGTTGAAGATAAACCTTGTATTTTAAATGTTGCATAGTCGTAAGAGAGAAAAATGCCAATCGTACCAATATTCTCATTTGCGACGATAAGGTCCATTCGATTGTCGTTGTTGAGGTCACTAACAGCAACAAAGTACGGACGGGAACCTTGCCCGGTAGAATATATTTCGGGTCTTGCGAAAGTTCCATTACCACATCCGTAACTAACAGTCACACTGTCATTCATGCTATTCACGACGGCGATATCCACTTGATTGTCCCTATTGAAATCTCCTACGGTAGCGTATAGCGGATACGAACCGATTCCCATAGAATAAGGAATTTCATCGCCGAAAGTCCCATTTCCATCTCCTAGACGAATACCAACATTATCATGTGCCGAATTGACAATCATCAAATCAGGTACGCTGTCGTTGTTGAAGTCACTAACTACAACACTATATGGATGCGAACCAGAGCCAGTTGAATATGTTGATTGGCTAGCTCCATATATGTTTTCAAGTCCGAGAAATACGCCAACATCCCCTTCACGAACATTAGTAACTACAAAATCCAGCCAACTATCGCGATTAAAGTGACCAGCTGCAATCGATGTTGGAGAAGAACCATCACCTGTTGAATAAGTTGTTAGCATTCCAAAAGTTCCATTGCCATACCCAAAAAGTAGACATACACTATTGTCGCCATAATTAGTCACTGCAATGTCGATTATATCATCGTTATTGAAATCGCCAGTTGTGAGTGATGTCGGAGCAGAACCAGATCCAATGAAAAATGTCATCAGTTTCTGAAAGCTTCCGTTGGCATATCCAAGAAATACGCCTACGTTGTTACTCAGAAGAGTGGTGACAACGATGTCGAGCATACTATCATTGCTTAAATCTGTTACGATGACTGAAGAAGGGTTGGAGTTTTCTCCAGTTGTCAATGATATCTGATTTCCAAAAGTTCCATTGTGATATCCGAGAAGTATGCCTACATTATTAGTACCGGAATTAGTAACAGCGATATCAAGAATGCTATCGTTATTAAAATCGCCTAGGGCAACTGAACCTGGATATGAATTATTCCCAGTTGAAAATGTCCTTTGAGCTGCAAAACTTACATTTCCATATCCGAGGAGTATGCCGACGTTGCCAGTGCCATGATTAGCAACAGCGATATCAAGGAAACTATCGTTGTTAAAGTCACCCAGAGCGACCGAGTAAGGATTAGAATGAGGACCAGTCGAAAATATTGCACGCCTTCCAAAGGTTCCATTGCCATATCCGAAAAGTACGGCTACATTGTTTGTACCGGAATTGGCGATAGCAAGATCGGACAGACTATCGTTGTTAAAGTCACCTACGGCAATTGAGTAAGGACGAGAACCAGTTCCTTCTGAAATTGCAATTTGTTCCGTAAAAGTGCCGTTGCCATATCCAAGAAATATGCTTACATGAGTTTGAATAGTGGCAACAGCAATATCAAGAAAACTATCATTGTTAAAATCACCCTGAGCTACCCAACGGGGTTCAGAATTATAACCAGTTGAATATATTGTTTGATTTGAAAACATTTTAATAGTATATCTAAGAAATACTGCCACATTGTTAGTGCCATTATTGGCTGTGGCAAGATCTAATAGGTTATCATTGTTAAAGTCACCAACAACAATAGAGACTGGACTAGAGTCAAAGCCAGTGAAATATTTTTCTTCGCTTGCAAATGTTCCGTTGCCTAATCCATTAAGCACAACAATAGTGTCATTTTCAGGATTGGTTACGGCCACATCCAATGTGTTGTCGTTATTGAAATCCCCAATGACCATAGAATAAGGACGAAATTCAGAATCAATGAAAGATACCTCTATTTTTGCGAATGTGCCATTACCATAGCCAAGAAGTGCACCTATAGTGGAAGTCCCGTAATTTGTAACTACAATATCAAGTCGCTTGTCACCATTCAAGTCGCCAACAGCGACTATAAATGGTTGTGAACCAATTCCAGTTGAATATATTCCTGGGAGGGAGAACGATCCGTTACCATATCCCAGAAACACAGCTACATTGCTAGTACCCGAGTTTGAGACAATAAGATCCAATTGACTGTCTTTGTTCAAATCGGCAACAACGACAGAAGTGGGAAGGGAGTCGTAACCTGCCGAATATGTATTTTGGGCAGAAAAGGTTGTGTCGCCGTATCCAAATAAAATGTCTATGTTGCTGATCTCATAGTTTGTGACAATTATATCAAGGCACTTGTCGTTATTCAAATCAGCAACGGTAACCGACACTGGTCGCGATGAGCCAAGTGAATAGACGAGGACTTTTTTAAAAGTTCCATTACCATATCCACCCAGTATACCGATACTGTTAGTACCACGGTTGGCGACGACGACATCTAGTTGATTATCATTGTCAAAATCACCTAACGCCACGGAATATGGTTGAGATAGAAAGCCGGTTGAATAGGTCGTTTGCGGTTGAAACGTTCCGTTTTCATATCCGAGAAAAATGCCAACAGTGTTTGTACCAGTATTGGCTACAACAATATCTAATTGAGTGTCATTGTTTAAGTTGCCAATGGCAACTGATCGCGGATATGAATTTTGGTCGGTTGAGTATAAGACAGTTGTTTTAAAAACACGTTGACATGATCCACCTAAAGATACATTATTGAGCAGCTGCTAAGTCGCTCTCTTCAGCAAAGGTACACATGATATCAGGTTTCAAACGACATTGGTTCACTCGAATTATTAAATTTACAGATTGAGCACTTTTGCTGAGAGTAAAAATCAAGAATATTTGGAGAGATGGGGGTATGATTCTGTTTTGAAATTTTCTCACTAAGATATGCACATGGTTGTGACCTATCATTTATCAATAGCTCGTCTTTGACTATTGTTTAGATCCGCTGACGCTTATTTTTTGAATTTTATCTCATGTCGAACGTCAAGCGAATATTATATAATGGTATGATTGAAAACCTTGTTCAACTGAATATGTCCATCGCTTAATTCGATAAATACCTGAGTATTTACATATTGGAACATTTTCACTGCATCATAGAAATGCTCTTTCACATTTGAAAAGAATATTAATTAGGATGTCCTGAGAATCAATTATAACATGTGTCTTTCCAGCGATTATCACTAATCATTCTTTTCTCTTTCTGTCATATCATCGCTAATTAGCCTATTGCTCTGTCGCTAGTTGCTTATCGAATTATCTTATTTTATTTTGCTAATATATTTAGGAAGGACATGAGATGACATAACGAAACAGTTGACATAAACAATCTATTTTACGACAATCTGATACAAGTAATATGTGTATAGTTTCAATAAAGTTTTTTTAGTAACTATGAACAAATATTAGAAGAATGCAAAGATCAGTTGCTGTCTTGATGAGAGGGTTGTTGAACTATTGAACACTATGATTTCTTCTTCGTTTATTCGAAATTATTCAATAAAATAAATTATATAACTTGATGTTTCGTTGTTTTAAATAGTTTCTTCAGTGAACGTGTACAATAATGGTTGAAATGACATTTGTACCAAAGTGAGCAAAAGACTGGTTAAATGACTATTTTTTTTCTAGTCGAGCCGACCCGTCCCATCTAGTCTTTGTTTTAAAATCGACTCGTCCACGACTAGTCCGAGTTTTTGACCGTTATGCATACGCGTCCTAGTACTCTGATTGACGACTAGTCATAAAATCTAATAAGAGTAATCATAACGATAATAAGGGCATCTGGGACGAGTATACAACCAGCTGTAGCCTTACACAGTGGACGAGTCTGGACTAGTCTGAATGGAAATATGTAAGGATGAAGATTAGATTCGAGCATGTATACAATGTGACACGTACCCATCGCCAAAACCATTGAGCCATATGATCGAGAAGTCATATTCTACACACTCATGTTCATTCTAAGATGCTATTTAATACAATTTTTACTCCAAATTTTTTAATTTTTATGTATCAATAAAAATTATCTTTTAACGAAACGCGATTACTTTAGATAACATTAAATAAAAATAAATTAAGAAGATTTTTTAATTTTTTTGACAAATATATTTTGATTATAAGCTACTAGGATTAACTAGTTGGGATTTAAAAATATTAATTTGAGTATAAGAATAAAAATATATTTGTGTAGAATAGAAACTAAATTTTTTCATTTTATTTTTTAGTTTAATTTTTACAGTTAAATCGCTATATATTCATCTGATAATTAAAGTATATTCGCTTAATGTAAAATTATTACAATTAATAGTTAAAATATAATAAAATTTCATCAGTTTATTACTGATTTTCTATGCATGGATGAGAGTCAATCTATGTTTCAGACTATATGCACTGATGACAGTCTATCGCAGTGTCATAGTCTGTCGTCAGGATGTTCGTCATATTTCGAACGTTGTCTGGCTGAATGTTCAAATCCACCGTGTAACCTCTTTTTCTAATCTTCCTACTAGTCTGGGCTAGGCCAAGAGACAAAACGGACTAGACATGACTGGGTTCAAGGACATTTCAGGCTAGTGATGTCGGCAGTCTCCTTCATGTTTTGCTTACTTAGAGAATAAATATATCACGGCGTAGACCAGACAGAATGCAATATACAGATGAAATTGACTAAGCATTCTCTTTTTCTTATTTTCTCTCATGAAGAATTGAACTAGTCATACGGAAAAGAATTCGACCCATCTAGCTACTAATATTGTCGTACGCATGGAAGATTATCAACCGATTTGAGCATATTTATAAACGATTTACTTAATTCACTGAATCAATTCAGGACTGCAATGAACCAGAGCCAGTTAGGCGAGCTGCACCAAAATGATTTTCGATATCATTTTATGGAAAGCAAAACGTAATTGATCATAGTCACTGTAATAGCAAACACTCAGCTCTCAGTTGTTATTTCCCTTGACGGCTTCTTCCACAGTCTGAACCTCTAATGAGAGTGAACTCATTCAATGCAGGCCGCTGAGTTCAACCAAGCGATCTACACTTCATAGCTGCATCAGTTTGTTGAGAGGTTCGATAGAGGAAGTGCGGAATCATAAGCAGGTTGTTAATGTTTCAGAAATACACACTAAGGAAGGCTTATTTCAATTGAACTTAACATATAGTTATACGTAGAAATGTAATGAAAAACTGAGTAGAAGTGAATAGAAACTCGAGATATTGCTTCGGGTTAAATTTCTTACAATCTTTGACTTGTACTCAGCAGTTTTGCAGATGCAATGAAAATCAGAGAAAGCTGGGCCATAGTATTTTGTCATTGGTTGCGAACCGGGATAAAAGCTAGTTTGTCTTATTGACTATGTTGCTACCTTCATAGACAATTTCAGAATCTGATCTTTTTCCAGAAAAATAGAAGCACTTCAGGACTAGATCTGTTTCTTGCTTATCAATTTGGAACGAATTCTTGTTATTGAAAAAAAGAAACGATTATACCGCATCGACTCTATTTATGGAATACGTTCTTGAATGCCGAATCTCTTTTTTGAAACCAATCTAAACAAATCGTCAACAGTTGACTCGATTTTGTCCATCCGAAAAACAATAACACAAAAAACAGATTTTAAATGTTTATCAGACACTACTAATCAGTTGAAATTGATGTTTATTCCTATTGTTTATTCTAATGAAACTAAATGTGGCTACTTTAAGAATCCGTCGTTTAAACCGTTCAATTAGTGACGTTCATCGAAATTCTATCATGTTATAAAAAAAAGAGATTGAGAATGACTAAAATAATAAGCTTATTTCTTGGCAGTTTTTCAACACAAGAAAGTGATTTTTCTCCGAATAGTACCTCAAGTCTACACGCAACTGTACCTTTAAGCTAGCTCGAATGATATCTATCTATCCTTCAGTTTTTTTATTTGGAATTCAAATATTTTTTCAGACTTTTTAGTTTTTAAAAGTAACTTTGCTGTTCGATTCATAGCAGTACATTTTCCGCTTCAATCATCCAAATTCTGTACTATTATATTTTGATTGTGATAGAACACTCTTACACTTATCATGTGGCATTCAGTTAGATCAAAAGCTACTTTGTTTTTGTGCAAACCATTAATGTTACAGTTGCTTGGAAATTTGTTTTGACGCAAACGGTATTTTAGATTTTAATTATGCATCTCTTTCAACTTTACACAATTAGAGGTAATTACTAAACACGATGGCTCAAGTTGTATTTTTATAATGACAATTTCTTGAGAGTCTTTGCAAAATAAATCATGCGATTCTTAGAAGTTGCAGTTCAGAAATATGTCAAATAATCAGACACCGAATCTTTATGATTCACATTCTATTTATAATTCCCTTGCTCTTATCGGCTCATTTTCTAATACATCTATTTGAATAGCAGGAGATCATTTTCGAGCACTCATATGTCGATGCATATATATAGAGACAAATTGATAATTGGAGAGGTGATGGTAAGAACGACATCAGATCTACAACATTTTCTTTTCCTTAAGATTTACAAGTAATGTATAAATAAAGTCATGAGAGAGAGAGAGAGAGGAAATCATACTTTGTTGTTTTGGCACTGTGAAACAAATGATAATAGTGCCAACGGCCACTACTACGATTGTGAAGAGAGAAAATCCAAGACAAGCGCCAAGCGTTGATTGAAAAAAACTGGTTTTAATTGATCGATACAATTATGAAGATAGACATATGAAGCGAGTAGACTTACAGGCATGTTGAAGTTGTATACGACAAAGCCACATCATCAGGACTATGTTCAATTCTTTCCAGATCGAGTGGATGCGGAATCGGGTCGCTACGCCTCATTAACTCCATGGAATGATATTGCTTGCGGAATGAGTTTTAGGCCAAGTCGAAAAACTTTATGTAGTAGATATTTCGATCTCTAATATACACAAAATTCGATAATAGTAGACCTCGCAACAAGAAAATGAAATTAATATTCGGTAATCACTTTCAAGTAACTTCTTATAGCCGTTCTGACTTTCAACAATATTCGGTCTCTGACCACGACTTTTAAGAATATTGTTCAAGACAAAGAATCAATCTGCTACAACATTTTTCTGATACAAGCGAATAATCACTGTAACATTCTCACCATCTGATAAGTCGCTTTCAAGCTGGGAGTATATTCAATCGATAGAGTCTTGTGAGTAATTAAATGCCCTAGCTCAGTTCGATGGAAAGCAGCGAGCAGACGACATTATTTTGATCTGACCTATCCAAGCCTATAGGCATGAACGACTAGGCTTGTGAACTTCTGAGAAGACATAATAGATTTGTTGAATGCGATTGGACACTATGTGTCGGAAAGTTTCCTTATGATTATTGCTATTAAACCTTTTCTCAAAATTTGACGAATTCACCAAATTATTGTAAACTAATAATACAACTTTTAATCAGAATCGAGCAATACACAAACAAATTGAACACATGACATCTAAGTCTTCATTTCAGTATGCCCGGTGTTTGCAGACTATCAATCCAAGTTTGTAGTTTTTGTTCGTTCTATAGACACTTTATTACTCAAATATCAAACACAAGGTTATTTTCTCAAAAGGGAAAAGTGGGACTTTAGTAATTACACAATCTTGAAGCCTCAGGTTTCTCCCTTATATAGAATAAAAATCTCCTGGTCGTTTTCCTCAAAAAGAACGTCAATTGCTTCAGCACAAAAATGAACTCTATGCCAAGAAATGGTCACAATCAACATTCTTATTGTTTGCTTCCTGATTAATCATATTGCTATTACGCACAAAAAGAGTGTCCTTGAAGTTTCCGTTCCCATTACCTCAAGGGTATAGGAGTCAAAAAAATCGCTTTTGGTATTTTAATCAAGATAGAATTCTAATTCCTGTATACCGAAAATTTCCATAAATGAAAGTTCTTGAAAAATGCTCGATGCTGTTTCTGTTGCTATTTCCATTAAATGCCACTTTGTGTATGCCTACTAATTTTTTCCTAATCTTCTTGCCAATCTGTCAAGAATCGTGAGTTATATATCAAATAAGAAATTCTACCTGAGGCCTTATGATTTCGGTAAATGACAACATATGTATTATCAAAAGTTAAACGTCATAGAATGGCAAACTATTGCATTTTTCGATAATGCTAGCCAAAGAAATGAATAATACACAATATTGCAAAGACAAATCTGGGATTTAATAAAAAAAAACACACTACCATCCCGTCATGTCTTTGAGTTGCATGCTGCTATCTCGGCTCACCTAGTGCCTAATGTAAAAGCAGCGTTTCCTTGTGTATTGTTTAGCATAATCTAAAGATGACTATTTGATTCACTTAATAAGAGAAAAACGAGGTACTGAGAGTGACGAAATCCGAAATTTTGAGAAAACTGGGATACTTTCTCAAAGCAAAACTTTACAAAATTTTTAATGCTTCTGCTTGTTAATTCTGAAAAAGTTGCTCGATCGTTCTCATGTGTGATTTCTTTAACAAAAGGACTTTTATCGACCTCATAATTCACAGAGAAGTCGAACTTTTTACTTTGTCAGTCTTGAGATCAAAGAAGTATAGGGTATCTTGTTCTAGTAAATCATTCGACGAAAAAATAAAACATTTTATTTCTTTGAATGTTTTATGAAATGAATTAGTTTTCGTGAGAATAATAGAGGGCATGCATATGAATTTCTTATATACTCTAATAAATTATCGCATTCATGCTCAGAACATGAATAAAACTCTCTTTTGATATGCTAAATAACAATACAGAGAATTGTCACTGGATTACTCAAATGAATTAGATGATAAGTCTCTTTGGATTATTTTCTACATGAAGGGACTCCCCATCTCTATTTGAACATTAATCCTGGTAAACTCTTCTAGATTATTTGAACCTTGATGGGCTCTCGTAGAACCTGATAGATAATGGTAGATCCTGATTCGATATAAATAACTGTTGAAAAATTGAGACACTCGGTCAGACTAATCATCCACAGACATTTATATAATGATATATCTATTCGATGAGGAAATCTGGTTTCTAAAATATAAAAATTTTGAATTTTTATATAATCTATTTCGATCATAACGTCTGTGACTGGCAAGAATATTTGAAATATCCCCATGTCGCACAAGCCGATCGAAAACCACCGGTTAATCGATTTTTCTCGATCGGTTTGTGCGACATGGGTCCACACTAATGAATAAAAACTTCAAATAGTTTTCTCCCATTGATGCAAAAAACAGTCTATCAGACAGAACTGTGAGAGAAGCATAACATTTTCTGATTGGTCAATCACTTTCTGAACATTTCATATTTTTAATTCGTATAAAAAATAGAGAGAGAAATCAGGATGAATACCTATGGTATAGTTCACTTTGCTCGTATAGTCAATTATAGCGAATAGTCCCCACGAAGTAGATCCAATTGGATGATGGGATTAAATGACAGTTGAATAAATACATGAGTGTGCAAATAACACAAAAATCTTCCGAATTCTATTATAGTTTGACAATTTTATTTCAATTTCTAAGTTAGCGTGCCATTCTCATCCTCATCATCACAAAATAATAGCACAAAAAGCAAAATATGCAAAGCTATTAATTACATGAATTTAGATCCAAAATAACTTATATATATTTTTTTTTCTCGCGTTAAATCATTCACTTAGATATAAATGCGCGCATTTGTTCGTTTTATTTTTGTGTTGTTCTTATTATTTGATGCTTAATATGGGCATATTCACTACAAGCTTAGAGAAAATCTAAATGTTCGATGTCGTTTTCATATGTTTTATGTAGACTATATACTTAATTGCCTCTTGAACTATCATTTATTTTTCTCTGCCAGCAAGTTCTATGGAACATAATTGCTATTTAATTGTATATCATATTATCTATTTTTGTATTTTTTGGAATCTATAGCAATAGCTATTCAGTAAAAACTGTATAGTAAATAGGCAAGTAAATTGTCAAATTGTGTGCCGTGTCATCCTGAAAAAATTGGTTCACCTCGTCGCAAGACAAGCAGTGTAACTAGTCGAGCTGTGAATTTCTGATCCCAAAGAACTCATCATCTTCGTCTATATCTACTCTACTGTGAGGAAAACTTCTCTCATTTTTTTATACTATAATTTTAATAAACTTTTATAAGATCGTTCAATATTTTAAAATACCCCCCACCCTTCCAGAAGAGCTTTCGAATGTCCACAGGAATCCACAGGAATCTACAGCTGCTTCAATAGAGACAGTACCTGAACTAGTGCTTTTCGTAGCCACCTATCTAGCGATCAGAGTAGTTACCTGTGTATAGAACTAGAAAACTTGATGACTAATGAAAATATAGACGTAACCTACGTGGATGCATAGAGTCCAGTGTATTCTGATTACTAAACGTCCATTCATGTATCCAGTATTCAAAACAACGACTTATACTGAAACAAATGCCAACTACAAGGCATCACAAGTTCTATCATAGCTTGTGCTGAATTTTGACCTTGAGAAATAAAAAAAAGATGAGTTAGGGAAATGGACAGGCGTCATCTATGGGTGGAAAAGATGGGTATTAATTAAAGCCTGGCCTAGGTTAACATTCTGATATAAAATCAAAACCTTAAATACAGGAAATAGACATTACACACATCATAATATATTCTTTCTTTCTTCTTTCGTGTATGTTTTTCTTCTTCATGCTACGCTGAATGTATTGATTATTATTGTTTTCTATTACTATACGCTTTTAATTGATATTTGGTAGACGAGGTATGAGTTGGATCAAAACTAACGTTATTATACAAAATTCAAATGAGTTAAAATCTACGTATAATAACAGGCACGCCAGAAAAATGAATATCTCAATATTTTTCTAGTATGGCAGCATTTACTCCGGAGTACGGACGAAAGTATACGTACTCGTATTTTTTTTAATTTTCAAAGGACAAGTATACTATTCAGGTGTACTCAGTAATTGTACTTTTAATTATAAAATCATTGAAAAATTTATCAATAAAAAGACTGAATGACAAAATATTTTTAAACGTATTAAAATTAAAAAGGAATTTTAGAATTATCTCTTAAATCAGTTATCGACTCACACGGAAAATCACTAAGCCGCTATGTATCATTTCATTCATAGATATTCGTCTGTGTGGTCCGACAACATCTCGTTGGCTATATACACGTTCAATCGAAGCAGATAATGTCATCATGATCTTGAAAACTATGTTACGAGTAGTCAAAACCAATGATGACATATTTTATTTATGCATCAAACTAAGAATGCAAAGCCAATGATTTTTTTGTGCTCAGGTATAATTGTAAGTATAGAGATTAAGTATATTTTTTCAAGCGTAAGTAAAATATTTTAACCTTCTGTACTTGCATTCACCCTGGCTATGATTTGCTTGGTATTTCAAAACAAAGTCTTTCGTCAAAAAATTCAGTTTTGAATTCTCTACAAAGCGATATATTCTTTTTAATCATAGCACAATCCATAGATTTTTAACAATCAATAAAAACAATCCGTCTACTATATGCAAATTTTTACTTAGTATGTTCTTGAAGATGCCTTATTAAATGTATTGATTCTCAAAAACCTATGCAATTTGTATTGAAATATCGAGCAAATGTTGAAATATTAGAAAAATATTGAGATGCCCACTTATTTTGGCGCATCCGTTAGTTTTTGATATTGTTCTTTCGAATGCATAGCAGAACATCAAAAATTTAAATTTTTGAGAAATGCTTCATGCACTATAGAGTCATTCTCGATGTATTCATAGAGACTCTCTATGCTTATGCTAATAATTTTGAAAACCAAATATACTTACTTGCCAAGACTGATTTTTCGTTGA